AACACTTTTCTGTAAATAATTTTTTTCCCAATTCAGATGTTTTTTAGGAAACAAGGGGGGGGAAAAATCTGCTTCTCAAATGTCAAGGACTTGAAAGACTAAAAATACATCACCGGAATAAATAAATTAACCCAGAAGACAGGACTGATGCTCTGCAGGCATCAGGGATTAAATAAATTCACTAAATTCAAAGTGGTACTGCAGATAAGAGCTCTTTGTGCTGCAGCATGTACAGCTTATTGATTCTGGGATTGAGGTGCTGTGCTCTCTTGTAACGGGGGCTCTGCCTGATCTGGTGAATCCTGCCCCAGTGCAGAGCGTGGAGCCCAAACCCCTCTCCCCATTTGTTTTAATTTGGTCTCTGCCTTCATTTGCTGCTCCACATCTGTGCCTCTCCCCCAGCACTGCCTGAGGGACAAGGGGCACTTCAGGAGGTGCTGAGCCAGCAGGATGGGGCTGCTGCAGGAAAGGAGCCGTGGGCATCTTCCACAGGGATGGAATGGCCAGCGCTTCCCTTCTCCAGAGGGTTTTGGGGGCCTTGAGGGGACAAAGGGTCCTCAGGGGAGCAGCTGAAGTTGGGATCCAGGTTCTGCACACTCACATTTTGTTATGGGAGCCACCAAGGAATGTGCCTGACCAAGGTAAAAATATGACCTGCACAGATGAGTTTTTCTGGACAAAAAAAAGAAAAAGTGGGAAGGTTTGTAATAAATCCCAGAGAGGTTGTTGCACACCCCGGTGGAATGAAGCTGGGAAAGTTCCAATTTACCTGTTTTCCATGGCAGAGGGTGTTTTCACCTCCTTGGTCAGATGCTGAACTGTCACACTAACACAGAAGGACATTTAATTCCTCCTTTGGAAGTTCTCCTAGTGCTCAGCTCAGGTTTCCTCCACAAGTTGCTCTGAAGGGCCAGCAGATCTCTCCAAACACAGAACTTCATGATCTCCCAAGGAACAGAAAGACCTCCAGGCCCCTGGAGGTGTGAGGAAGCAGCTGGGCAGGGCAGTGATGCTCTTGGGGTGTGCTGGTGCCCTGTTCCATCTCTCCTTGGGTGAGGTGGAGCCAGCACCAGCACCTTCCCAGCCTCAGGGCATCCTTGGGTGCTGGCCTCCAGAGTCATGGCAAAACCAGCTGATCTGACCAAGGGGAAAGACCTTCCCAGCCTCAGGGCATCTCTGGGTGCTGGCTTTCAGAATCACTGCAAAAGGAGCTGATCTGACCAAGGGGAAAGGCTTTTATTATTAATTGTTGTCTCTTAGGTATGAGGGAAGAGCTCCATGGCATGAAAGTTGCTACAGGGACTTTTGGGTGACCTCCCCAAATCCCTGCATCTCCCTCAGGTTTGGCAAATCTCCCAATATCTTTCACCAAAATCAAGCTCTTAATCTCAAGACACCTCTCCTACGTCAGGCTGCCTCCTGAGCACGATCCACAGGGCCTGTGTTTCAACACCCGGGATTCATTAATATTTCCTGCAGAGTGCTCAGTAAGTAGCAAATAAAGCAGGAAGTGTCCCAGATGTTGGAAAGAAAAAATGGAATTATTCATTGCTTACTAACATCAAATGCTAATGTGAGAAAAGCATCCTTGAAGAAATCCTTGACTAAAATTCATCAGAGTGATGTGAAATCACTGTTTTAATTATGCATTTTGAATGTATTTATTAGTCCCGGTTCTGATCTGACTTACAGATGTTTAGCAGTGATAAGGGTCTGCTGCAGCCTTCGGAATTACTCATGATTTATAATGACAAAACTTGGATCAGAATTAGGTCCTTGTCACTACTCTATAATATCCTTTCATCAAACTTCACATTCAACAGATGAAAGCAAACGTGGTTTCTGCAATTTTCAACTCTACCACCGAGCCCATGAGTTCCTTTTTTTAAAATTTCTCCTACAGAAGTGATGACTCTCACAGCAAATTTTGTCTGCTTGAGTTATACTAGCCATGAGAAACTTGAGAGCAAAGGAATTGGAGTCTTTAATCCACCAAAATGATGTATTTGGCCTTGTGCTGGCAGTAAACATGGAATTTTAATGAAAGAGTTAATTGCTTTAATTATGCAACTCTACAATCTCATTCTTTCTTAGTGCTGTGACTATTAGATATATACCTAATATTGAGAGATTTTCCAAACCTGTGGGAAATCCAAGGATTTGATGAGGTTACCCAAAAGCTCAATACCAGACAACAATTGGGTGTGCTCGATACCAGATATTTAAAATAAAACACCCTCTGTTCAAGAATGATTCAAAGCCATGTGGTTTATTTCCAAAGAATGACGGAATTTTAAACTATTGCTTGTTCTAGAGCTGATCCAGAAAGAGCAGGTCTCCAGGGATGCTTTACTCCCTAAGGCATGAATGCATGATTAAGCTAAATGTATTCCATAAATGCCTTGATGACATTAAACTAAATTTTTTAAAGAACAGATGGAGAAAGTTAATAAATATTTCATTCTATAATATAAAACTCACTTCTATATTCACAACTTCAGGGATCCTCAGCTTCACAGATATCAATAAGTCTGATGGATTTCTTGCTGCATTCTCATTCTTCTGCCCTGGTGTCTCTTATGGGATCATCATTTCTGCATGCTTGGATTGTTTTATGGGATCAGTGAAAGGCAAGTGACTGTAAATCTTGACCTCTTCTGCTCCAGGATTGTATACTTTTATTCTTTGTGACCATAAGTGTTCATCTTCACATTGAATAGATAATTAAATGACAAAAATTATTCAAAGGGAATTTATAGTGAGAAATTATACCTTGAAGAACTGATGGGGAACAGGCATAACCCAAGGAGAATCAGAAAAAAAAAAGTTTAGAATGGCCAAATAAAACACTAAAATCTCTGTGTATTTGGGAATGTCATGAAACATCCATTCACTGGGAAAAAACCCATGATTTTTACCTGCACATCCCAATTCTATTCAAACAAAATTTCTATTAAGGGAAAACAGTGTGGATATTGCTAAAGAACTGTAGCCCAAGCCTGTTATTCATATGAAAGAACTAATCTTTACATGGGGGAATTACAATTCCTCACTCTGTGTATGCCATGAATCTTGTAAAAGAATAATTAGAACTTGCTCCGAAAGGAAAGAAACGCCAGACTTGAATAATATTTTAGGAAGAGCATTAACAAACATTTTTACACTGCCAACAATCTTCAGCGCTTCCTAGCAGAGATTTACATTCCATTATTAATTAACTGCACTGAGTCAATAGTGTGACATAAAGCTCAGGAGATGTGAGTTGAGCACAAACTCTGACATCCACGAGAACGGCGCGGTTTGAGAAGTTTGATTTAAAATTTATGCAAATGAGCTCAGCAAACAAGGACCCAACAAACTACTTCAAAGCACCACACTCCAGCCCGAAAAAAACACGACAAGATCAAATCTTTGTCATTTCTCAAGTGTCTTTACAAACCTCTGCCTATTCAGGACAAACTATTTCACCCCCAGTACCTGGATAGTTTGGTGGAGAATTAGGAGGTGAATGCTCTTCACAGGGTCACTGCCACATCAGCTTGGATGACTGCAAGAATTTAAATGTATTTAAGTGTTATATCATTTGTCATTTTAGATCTGACTCTTGTGAGGTGTCCATAGAATACAAAAAGGTCCCAGCTGAGCTGCCTGATAGGGCTGACCAAAACAAAGCCAAAAAATAGCAGTACCATTGTCCCCACTCCTGTTCCTCCAGCTCCCACCATCATTCTGTTTTTGGGTTGAGAAACTTCCCTAAGCTGTGTCCAGGGAAAATATTAAATTCAGAGTAATGACAAAAATTATTCAAAACAAATTTATAGTGAGAAATTGCCACGTGAAGAACTGATGTGGCACTGGCACAGACCAAGGTGATATCACATTATCAAGCTATTGTCCCCCCTCACTTTCCTTCAATTGGGATCAACTTTCAGTTTTAGGGTTGGGAATCCCCACAAAACTGCATCCAGGGAAAATATTAAATGCAGATTAAAGCATTACTGTAAAGAAATACTAATTAATTCATGCTATGTTTCAAGCCACAAAAATTGGTTTATTCCCTTATTGAAAGTTAGGTTAGGTCCAGGTACATTTGTATCTTCAGAATCAGGGCTTTTAAGGAAGAAAAAAGTTTCTCATGTTTCCCGACATCCCATTAAAATGGTTGTCCTTTGACGTCAATTAAAGCTGGCCAAGGAAAAAAAATCATCCTTAATTGCTTTTTAGAAATAGACATTATTGCTTGCACCATCACAGCCAGATTCGATTTCCTTTTACAAGAAACCAGGATGCTGGGAATGCTGTAAAACTCCAGCTCTGCTGAATATGGATGTGGAGCTCTGCTGACAGAGAGCTGCTTTCCCTTGAGCTGTGGAAAAAACTGGTGCAAACCCCACCAACGTGCTGAAATATCTCCAAAGTGGAAAAAGGCTGGAGCTGGATGTTCAGCTGGGTTGGTTTGAGATGGGCAGTGGTCGGAGCCAGGCTGGGAGAGCTGGGGGTGTTCACCTGGAGAAGAGAAAGCTCCAGGGAAACCTTCCAGGGCCTAAAGGGGCTCCAGGAGAGCTGGAGAGGGACCTGGGACACGGGATGAAGGGACAGGACTCAGGGAATGGCTTTCCACTGCCAGAGGGCAGGGATGGATGGGACTGTGGGAAGGAATTCCTGGCTGTGAGGGTGCTGAGACCCTGGCAGAGACCCAGAGTAGCTGTGGCTGCCCCAACCCTGGAAGTGTCCAAGGCCAGGCTGGTGGGGCTTGGAGCAATGTGGGATAGAGGAAGGTCTCCCTGTCCATGGCAGGGGGTGGAACAGGATGGGTTTTAAGGTCCTTTCCAACCCAAACCTTCCTGGGATTCTCTGGATGCTCAGTTCTCCATCCCTGCCTCCCCATGAGAGTGAGTGTAACAATTGGAGCTACAAAAAACGATCAAGCCCTCAAAACTTGGGTGTGTTTCTTTACAAGGAGCATCACCAATTTTCTCAAAGCCGTTTCCACACTTGTCTTACTGCAGGGAATCCATAATGTCTCTGCCCACCAGGAAGAAGAGGAGTCCAGAGAGGAGCACCAGGGGCACCCCGGCGGCAGCGAACATGAAGGACCACCCGTAGTAGACGTGCACAGGGACATCATCCAGGCACCTCTCACTCCTCTCCAGGAGGATGTACCTCTGGAAGTCAGCTGCAAACTCCTTCCACATCACAAAGAGAAACACGAGCAGGAGAAACAAACCTCCTGGGAAGAGAGAAAAAAACTGAGTTATCGTCTGTGCAGGGAATACAGGAATAAAGGTGAGAAAAGATCACTGCAGCTTCTCATCTGTGCTCGGCATCAAAGCTTTGTGTGGCAGAGTTGTTGCTCCTGATGTTGCTCTGCAGGTTCCTGTGGAAGCTGAGGCCAGTGGCCATGGAGAGCCCCACACCACAGTGACCCGTTCCTGCCTCTGACACCTCCTGCTTTGACCACCAGCACTTCTGAAGGCTTTGCTTTGGCAGGATAAGGCCACAGAGAAACCACTGGAGCAGGGCTGATGTTCCCAGCAGGGAGCTGCCTTCCTCTCTCCAAGGTGGGATGTTTCACCGTTTTCACTTTTAATTTCTCAGAGATTAAGGAGGAGACACCAAAACTTACTTCTTCCTTTTTTTGTATCTACCTTTGCAAGCAGTGTCATAACCAATCCCCACCAGGAACACAAAGATGCCGTGATAAATCCTGGTGCTGGTGGAAAAATTCTGGCACTGACACCCCCAGAGCCAGCAGAGCCTGCAGGGCCAGCACATTATGGGGTGGGAAAGGCACACAGCCATGAGATATTAATCTTAGGTGGGCTACTAAATACCAGAATAATAACGAGAATTATTACAGCAGCTTATGCCACGAAGCTGGAAGCAGATGACAAAAATTAGAGGGGCCCAAATCTCATTTACTGTGTATCTTTAAAAAATATATATTTCTGTGGTGCATTTTAAACTCAACATCTATTAAAGCTAAATAGTGATGGTGTGTTGACAGGTCTGAATGCAGTTCAGAAATATCTGATCTTGCTACTTCACAGGTAGAAGCTGCTATTTTTAAATGGTGCTGTATAACATATAGATATACACACACACACATATGAAAGAAATACATCACAGCTTATATTATTTTTATGGTTGAAGTGAACTGCTCGAAATTAATTTAGTTGACAAGTTACCACACAGTTCTGTGGATGTGTTGTGGCTTCTGCAAGATTTAATTTCTCCCCTTGCCATTTTTAAATCAAAGGTAGTTGTGGTGTATTTAATTATTCCTCCTGGCAGCTTATGCACTCCAAAATCCAGCTCTTGTGCTAAGGAAAGGAAAGGGGTAAAGATTGATGTTGATTTATCTGCTTAGGGAGGTTACTGAATCTTCAGTCAGAGAAAACATGTCCGTGTTTTACTGTGATTCTGTTTATAATGGTTATGAAAACATCTCAGAGACAAAAATAAGACTCACATGAAGGTAAGAGGCTTCAAAGTCCTCACTAGGAGGGAGATAGAAGTTGTAGTTCCCCACTCTAAGCTGTCACATTTACTAAACTGCCTCCCAAGCCCTAAAAGGATGCAATCTTACCAATCAAAAATTGGTGTAGCCATACAAATATTCTTTACATCACCCCACACTGAAATTCCAGCCATTCTCCCTGATGTGGAAGAGTCCTTGTTTTTCCTGGAGAGGCAGGCAAGGAGTTAAACAGCAGCTGCTGGAACATTTGCATGTTCATTGAGGTTTTGATACCACTTGAAATTAAGTGCACAAATAAATATTTTACACTTACCATGATAGTTGTATGCTTAAAATACCAATTATTCTACTATAAGAAAGCGATGGTGTGTTCAAATAGTCGCATGTCCTTTACAAAATACAATGTATTGATAAGAAGGCAATTAAGTCTTTATTACTGATGTAATTTAAAATTAAATTAATTAGATAGCAACTGAACCTTGAAAAGTGCTCCTTTAAAGATCAATTTCTATTTCATTAACTTATAATACCTACCGTAAGAGACGCAAATGAAAGCGCAGCCCCGGTGGGACAGAGAACGTGGGTATGGAAATATACTTTGGAATTTTGCTTTAAATAACCAGGAATTCCGTGTTGATTTCTCCCAGGACAATTTATATGGCCTAAGTCTCGTTTTTTGAAGTAATCAGATCAAAACCTTCCAGTTCATACTGAGGAGGGTGTGGGAAGTCCCATGTGTGGGTGGTGCCATCCCCAACCTCTTCAGGAGATAAGGAATGGGAATTGGTCCCTCCTCTGGCCTCAGGAGAAGCTCCAGGTCTTGGCATGGAAGGATTTATTATTAAACAGGTACTGGAGGTGATGGCATGGCCATGGCATCTAAATTAAGAATGTTTTCACACTCTGGGCAAATGACAAGAATATGTAAAGCAAGCAGCCTTCTTCCCTGGAATAATTACAGCTGAGTGATGAAGAATCCCTGGGATTTACACGATGTCCTCAGTGGGAAGAAAAAATCAGAAGGGCAGGTGCAGCCAAAGGATGTGGGAGCTCAGGAAGGACAGCTCACCAAAATCTGTTCAGCCAGAAATGCTTGTTTGGAGCAATCACAAGTGTACCTGAATCTGCCTAAAATTTGTCACACTTACATCGATCAGCAGTCTCTTCATCATGAGAAAATCAGAATGTTTCACTCTTATATTACCAAAGCGTTTGGCATTTTTGTTTTAAAATGCTGTTGTATTTAGGATTTTTCATCCGTTGAACGGGTTTCACTCTACTCCTTCCTTTCTGGGGCTTTTGTTGGACACAGCAGAAATTATCTTTGTTTCCTGACAGCTTTAGATGTAGAGACACAGATTCCTTCCTGCTTTGGGCAGCAAGATGCAAAACTGAAAAAATGTAATTTTCTGTCTGAAACATGGCACTGGCATTGGCACCCACACCCAAGACACAGGGTGTGTATTGGGTTTGGGCAAGTGAAGATCTCATCAAACCTCATCCCCGTGCTCCTCTCAGCACCCCTGTGCTTTCTCCACCAGAAAATTACCCGAGTGATTCCTCTCCTTGCCTCCTTCTCCTTCTTTGCCTCTGTTCATTAGGATGGTACTGGGAAAAATTAACTGCGAAACTCCATCTCCAGACTGATGAGGTCAATGGCATCTTCTGGGGAGGGGCTAATTGCCAGAAAATTGCAGTGGGGCATTAAATCTGTCTCCTTTGTGCACTGCAGATCTGGGAGCCTGGAGCTCCATCCCCCTCTCCCAACGGAGCTGCGTCTTCTGTGTGGGCAAATTGAAGTGGAGCTTTTCCTTTCTCTCACTTTATTTCCTTGTGACACCTTTATAGCTGCTAATTGTGGGGACAGGTGAGTGAACTCAATCTTTAACTCTTATTCTGGGGAAGCTACTGAATTTTTGTGTAATCTGCTAATTAGGAGAATAATGAACTTTGACTCATTCTCTCTCCCGCTCGTTGCCTCTTAAGGATGTTAATAACAGCGAAATGGAGGGGTGACCTTCAGCTGCCCTTCCATAACTGTCAGCCTTCCCTGCACGTGGGGAGCCTGAGACTGCCAGAGTGGAGCTGCTCCATTTGGGAAGCAGAATCTGAGAAAAAAAATCCAGCACTTTAACTCACAGGAGCAGGAAATCTGCCCCTTTTTCCGTGCTGTTGGGTCATGATGAAGAACAGGTTGGCCCCACCACGGGCAGGGATGTGTCCCATCATCCCAGGTTGCTCCAAGCCCCATCCAACCTGGCCTGGAACATTTGCAGGGATGGGGCCTTCACAGCCTCTTTGGGCAACCTGTGCCAGTGCTGCCCTTCAAGTTTGGTCTCTAAAATGCTCAAAGTAAACCGAGGAGCACAAGGTAGGGAAAAATGCAGGAAAGTTGTCTCAGCCACTCAAAGAGCTTCCAGAAGCTGCAGCACAGAGCTCACCCAGCCCTCTTGGTGACATTGTAGTGACAATTAACCAACCTTTGACTACTCAAACAAAGGGACAATCAGGCACCAGGCAGGATCTGCCACCCCTTGGAAGCACTGAAGCTCATTCCAAGATAGCAAATGCTGGGAGGAAAGCAGCACACTGGCTCTTGCCTCATGTATTCCAGGTGCTTTTGGGAGAAGGCTGGCAGGGAAAACTGCTCAGGTGGGGCTGTGGACGTGCAAAGGTAGCACCAGCAAATGTCAGATCGGCTTTGGCTCTTTCCAGAGTCACCCAGTGGAGGAAATCGAGAGAAATGGCTCCACTGCTTTGGAAGGGCCCTCAGAAACACCTCCCAGAGCAGTCCATTGGTTGTTGGAGCTGGCACAGTCAGATTTGCTCTCTGGAATGTACAGTAAATAAAAGGCATCCCAGGGGGAAATCCAAAGGGATCCAGTTGAGCCATAACAATCCTCACCCTTTGGCGCTGGACTCCCCCAGCAACAGATGGACACACCACCCTCCTCAGGCTGGTCATCCATAAATCTCTGGGAATGCATTTGCACCAGTGGTGTCTTTAGAGCCTTTTGGTGAAAAAAGTGACATCATTTTGCAAGGAATAACCATGACTTCTCCCAAAAGCAGGGAGGTGGTGGGCAGAACAAAGCTGCTGGTGAAGGGTTCCCTGCGAGGCTGCCGGGACATCCCGCAGTCCTGGTGCTCCATCGCCCATTCCTGCTGCCAGACCACATTCCCACTCTGCAGATTGCCAGCTTTTTCACACTTCCTCAAGGAGAGATCCTTTCTGCAGGGGAGGTTAATTAACACTGACCCGCAGGCCATGATTAGAAGACAAGAGGAGCTTTCTCCTGCATCATCCCTGCACATCCCGCTTCCCAAAGGAAAGGGATGGCTGAGGACTCGAGCCTCTGTTAAATCCATTGTTCCTACTGCTTAGTGCAATTATGCTAAATATTTTTAGAAGGGATAACGAGAAAATAACCATGGAGGGATGCAACCCAAATCCATCCAGAAGCCAGGGCCAAGCAGGATCCAGAGGTCTGAGATCAGGATAAGCCCCCCAAATAAAAGGATCAGTTGAAACACTAAGGAAACTTTGCTGAAAAACACATTGAATCCTTCTGCTATCATTTGAGTGGAAAATATAGGAGGAAGTGTCTTCCAGCTGAACTTGTTCCCCCAAACGACTGTTAATAACAATGATTGCTGTTCAGATTGAAGCTGCATTAATACAAACTTCAATTTTAACAGCAGCATCTTTGTCTAATGCCAAGAGGTTTATGTGATGCATAATCAGCTCTTCCAAAAAGTGTCACATTCAAAGCCCCAGCCTTTTAATCAAGGAGTAGTCAAATAAAGTGGAAAAGCAAGGAAGAAAAGGGGAAAGAAAAAAAAAAAAGGAAGACAGTTGAGTATTACTCGGCATCCTTTTCTGTGATATGTCTGCCCAATGTGCAGGCTGGACACCCTCCTCAGGGACATCTGCTGCTCCTGGGAGCCTGGACTGCAGATGGGAAGGGAAAGCTTCCTGCCCTGGTACAGCCCTTGGATTACAATCCATTATGGGATCACAACAAACTCATGGAAAACTACAGGCTTGGGAATTTGTTTGTGGAAAAGGCCCTGGGGGTGCTGGTGACAGCAGTGGGACATGAGCCCAGGGTGCCCAGGTGGGCAGGAGGCCAATGGCACCTGGCTTGGGTCAGGAATGGTGTCCAGGGGATCAGGGCAGGGCTGTCCCCTGTGCTGGCACTGCTGGGGCACCTCCAGTGCTGGGGGCAGCTCGGGGACCCTCATGACCAGGGGGACACTGAGGGGCTGGAGTGAGTCCAGGGCAGGGAATGGAGCTGGGAAGGGAATGGAGCCCCAGGAGGGGCTGGGGGAGCTGGGCAGGGGCTGAGCCTGGAGCAAAGGAGGCTCAGGGGGGACCTTGGGCTCTGCACAGCTCCTGACAGGAGGGGACAGCCCCAGGTCAGGCTCTGCTCCCAGGGAACGGGAACAGGAGCAGAGGGAACAGCCATGAGCTGGACCAGGGGAGAATCAGGTTGGAGATAAGCAGGAATTTCTCTGTGGAAAGCATTGTCCACCTCTGTCACAGGTTGCCCAGGGTAGGGGTAGAATGACCATCTTTGGAGAAATTTAAAAGTTGTGTAGATGTGACAGCTGGGGGCATGGGTCAATGTGAGAACCTTTCTTGTTATATATTTTCACTAATGTTTATTATGGGGCAGCAGGAGCTGGTGAAGGATCTGCAATTAAGCAGTGGTTTTTCAGAGAAAGACCTGATTTCATTACAAAGTTCTTCACTTGGCTCAGCTCAACTGAGCTCCAGCCTGTGGCTGCTTGAGTCATAAAAGAGCTTTTTTCTGAGTTTGAGTCACTGGTATAAATCAAGTATTTCTAATATTGAAGCCAGTTATAACTCTCAAATACAGAAAAGGAAAAAGCCCAAGTGATAATTCAGTAGAATCATTGGTAACAGCAGTGGGAAAAATGAATAAATGCCTATTTTTAATTCATTTTCCTGCAGTGCCATCGTTTCATCTTTTCAGGTCTCCTTAAGCCAGCCCTCCCATTTTGGATCATGGGGTTTGCCTTTCATCCCTCTGTGGGTTTCCAGCTCTATCAAAGCTAACAGCAGAGGAGCAGCCCAAAAGCAAAGCCTGACTTTGGGGAACTGAGCAGGGCTGATGCTGCCCAGAATTAACACACCTGCAGGCTTTACTGAAATAAAAGGGTTGCATACAGGAGTAGTAAAAACCAAGTGATTTTCAAAAACCTCAGCCCTGCTAGGACTAAGGCCTATCTTGCTAAAGCCTGGCTGAACACAGGATCATGAAATCACAGAATGGTTTGGGTTGGAAGGGGACCATAAAGGAGGCCATAAGGGCCATAAAGGACACAGACAGGAACATCTCCCACTGGACCAGGTTGCTCAGAGCTCCCAGGGGTTTAATCCCAGCAGGGAAGAGGGAAATAATAATTTGCTGCTCCCATCAGAGCCCCCTCTCCCATGGCAGCACTCCATCCCCACCTGCCCCCATTCCAAAGCCACCCTGCCCCTGCCCTGTCCCCTCACCTGAGAGCAGCAGGAATCCTCCCCCAACTTTGTAGGAGTGGGGGCTGGAGAAGGGGACCCCACAGACCAGCAGGAGCCCCCCCACGAGCCCGGCAGCCACGGCCAGCAGGATGAACGCCGTCCAAAATCCTCTGTACACTGCAACGGGAGCAAAGTCGGTCAGAAAGGAGAGGGAAAGAGGGAAATTTCAACCTCAGAATGCTTTTTCTTAATGATGCCATGTTTAACTCCTGCTTTAGCAACAGTAAAAACAACAAGCTGCGACGCTGCTGTGTCAGGCCGAGCTGAGGCTCCAGCTTTGCCAGGGCACCTGGAACAGCCACGGGTTCAGGGGGAATGTCATGGCCCACAGAATGGGACTGGAAAGAGGCCAAAGGGTTGGGAAGGTTTGCCAGGGAAGCACACAAATAAAAAGGGTGGGAGGAAAGGACACCGCTCTTAGCTGTGCTGGGGAACGTTGGAAAAGCTTGGCAGGAAAGGAAAGAAAATAGCAAAATTTGGAGAGGTGGATTCAGACCACAGCTTTGTTCCACTTTAATTAACACTTCAGGAAGGTGCCAGGCTCCTGGTTTAAAATAAAAGCAGTGTTTGCTAGCAGGACTGCAGGGAAAACAGGAGCTCATGAGTTCCCCCATTAATGGCCTTGTTAGACTCTGGGAAAGAGAAGGGGCAGGAGAGCAGCTGCCTGTCCATCCCAGGAATTTGGGGGTTTGGCTATGACTTCATACAACACCCCAGGCAGAGCTGAGCAAGCTTTGTCCATCACATCCCACCAGATGGAACAGGATGGGATGTAGCTGTAGCCCACTCATCCAAGTCTCCCAGTAGCCAAGTGTCTTGCAGACACTGCCATAAACCTTATCCAAAGGGAGTGGTCCTCCAGCAGAGACCCTCTGCTCCCCATCCCCTGATCTATCTGATGCCTTGGACCGCCCCATCTCGCCCTGCCAGTTGTTTTCCAGAAGCTCCAGCTCGATTTAAGCCGAGCACAGGCAAGTGGGTAGTGCTGAAACGATTCACACTTGAAAGAAAAATGATACAGAGAAGATGCGTTTTCCTCATTTGAAACCATTTTGTCAGGAGAGCCACTTAGGGAGAGATAAGTATCTTGAACTCTCCAAAACCACAGAATTCATTTTCATGTTTAACCTCCCGTCACCCGTTTCTCTCAGGGAGCCTAAGAGGATGCAGATAAGGCAGAATTATCTCTGGAGCAGGTAATAGCTGCAGGACCCCTCTCCTTGGGCAGCCTCCTGCTTTGTCAGCCTTGGCAAATGAGCTAGGGCTGGTTAGAAAGAAAAGGTGTCAGCGGCAGGGTGTTATCCCAGGGAATTGCAGAGGATCGGGGCAGGGAGGAGCCCGGTGCTACCCCTGCTTCCCCAGGATCGGGGCAGGGAGGAGCCCGGTGTTATCCCTGTTCCCCCCAGGATCGGGGCAGGGAGGAGCCCGGTGCTACCCCTGTTCCCCCAGGATCGGGGCAGGGAGGAGCCCGGTGCTATCCCTGCTCCCCCAGGGATCTGCAGAGGACCGGGGCAGGGAGGAGCCCGGTGCTATCCCTGTTCCCCCAGGATCGGGGCAGGGAGGAGCCCGGTGCTCCATCCCCCTGCGCCACCCCCGAGGTGATGGGGACAGGCAGAGCCCGCAGTGCCCCGGGTGCAGCTCCCATCTCCAAGAACCGCTGAGGTGGAAAAGAGCCCTGAGAATCCCGAGATGGTGCCGGGACTGTCCCAGGGGACACATCTGGGAGGGTTCCACAGCCGGGGCTGACAGGCAGGGACAGATGCCTCCAGCGCCCTTTATTAGGATGGAAAAAGCAGTGTGCGTGTGTGTGTGTGTGTTTATCAGCAGGATCATTCAGAACCGGGACGCTGTGCCCGTCTCTCCCCAGCAGAAACAATCCCACTGCTCATCCCGCCTGTTTGCTGCACATCCTGCACCAGCTCCTCCTCCTCCTCCCTCCACAGCTCCTCGGATCCATTCCACACCACGGAGCATTCCCCGGGGCAGGAATTCTGCACAGCCAAAGAAATGAGCTGCCCTTCCTCACATGCTCCTACTGACAATATTTTTTTTTTAATTAATTTCTCATAGAGAAAAAAATAAAATAAAATAAAACTAAAAAAAGGTACTACTAAAGGCTAAGGAAAAGGTCAAGATGTTTGTTTGTGCAGAATGTCTGCCCTGCATCCCCGGAGGCAAGGCAGACTGATGCACACTATTTAAAGAAATCAATTCATTTCAAAAAAGATCATTGAATTAATTCTAACTGCTGCCACCAATTTAGTAAATTAAAATTCCTAACAGCAACTGATTCATTAAAGAACTTGGAAAATATAGAGAAACATAAATAAAAAGGGACCCGGTTGAAAGGAAGCTGTCCAACTGTGTAGTGTTCATTGCTTTAAAAATAAGCCAGTCACTTACGTGGATTTTCTAACAATTTGGTCTTTAACCAATTTTCCAGTGCTTGTTTATTTTGTCTTGCAACAAATCAACACCTGAGTTATCCCAGAAAACCAGATTCTGGGATGGAGTCAGCACTCAGGCTGGGTTTGGGTGGTCTGGCTCCAGTTCTTCCCAATGAGAGAGGAGATGGGAGGGAATGGATTTATCCTCCTGCCCTGCTCACCTGGAGGAGCTGAGACCCTTGGGAGGGAGCTCAGCCCATCCCAGCACTCCAGGCTGGAGGAGACAACGTGGGAGAACCTCTCAAGGTGGGCTTGGGCAGCCAAGCCAGCAGGACTGGTAGTGAAGGAGCTTTCCAGAGGTCTTGGCCGTGTGAATTTACAACAGGAAAACCACAGCACTGACACATATCCCAAATCTCTGCCTGATGCCTTGGAAAAGGAGATCAGGCAGGGATTTGGGATATTTGGGATATGCTGGGGGAGAAGGAAAGAAACTCACCTGCAGTTGTGTCATAGGAGGGATGGGGGAAAGGTCCCACAGCAATGGGCATGGGGAAGAGGTAGCCATGCATGCAGAACTTGGGGTGTGCTTGGCTGGCTGGAAAAGATAAAGAAAAAGAAGAATTAAATCCCAGTTTTGCTTTTATTTCCTGCAGGATCAGTTACAGTACTGAGATGGTGATGTGCTGTCGTGCAAAACCTGCAAAACCCTCAGTGAAATCAGAAGGCTGGGGAGGAAAAAAAAGATAATAAGTCTTGGTTAGGGAGAAAAATAAAAATAGAAATAATAATTATGAAAGAGGGGAGATATCAGAGGATCTGAGACTGCTTCTTGTACATCTTCTCATCTTCATAACCTGAGTCTGAGGGGAACAAAAATCATGAAAGATGGAACAACTGAAGTCAGTGTCAATATTCTTGTTGCTGTTTTCCTCCAGAGAATGTGCCTGACCACCTGGAAGGGTCAAAATGTTTGGGTGCCAGAACAAGGCACTTCCAAGACCTCCAGCTGGTGAGAAGGAAAAGCACAATTAGAATGGAAGTGCCCCATCAATATTAATACCACTGAGGCTTATCATGATTAACAGTAATAGAATGAATGTTAAATGAATTAATTAATGGTTGGCCACTTATTTAAATATGTTCCCCAGCTCAAAGGAGCACTTTATAATAGGTGGACATTAGTTCATGCTAAATTGACTATGGAATACCTATTGAATTAATTATTACATCCACAAGACCAGCAAATTAATTTGCCATGATCAATCCTATTATAATAAATACCTAAAGAAGTAGCAAAAAATTTGCCAGTTATCAGAGTGACTCATTTTACTTCAGGTAAAATTATATTATGTATTTCCATATAATGTAATTCAGTAGCAAACTCCCTGTCTCAAGCCTGTCCTTTTTTATCACAAATTTCCTGTGTGAAAAACCTCCCATTGTTGAGTGGTAGCGGGAAGTATTCCTGCAAGATTTTACAGGAAACAGGTCAGGGGCTGGGGGACAGCGAAGTCATTTGAAATGTTAATCACTGCAGAGTAAATTTAGTGTGGGAACCTGCACTATTTGCAGGGAAGTGCCCTCTGAGGTGATTGTGCTGCTCCACAACCTCAGGAGCATCTTCCATAGAGGCCTCAGTGGGCGCAGGGCCAAGATTTTTGTGGTGTTTGAAGCCTTTGCAGAATTCATTTAAAATCTAGGGGGGTTTGTCACAAATCCTACTGTAGAGTTGTGGCTCCCCACAGGGCTGGTGCCAGGTGTGTCCTGGTGTGGTCTCACTCCTTTCCTGTTCCTGATGGGAGCACCTGGTTCACTGGGCCAACCCTTCACTGCACGAGGGCCACCAGGGTGGCACCAACCTGGGTCACAGAACTGGTTTTGTCCCTTCCTTCAATTTGTTTTTGAGGAGTTAATGTGTTTTCCAAAAAATAAAGGATTTTGCATCCCTCTCTGTTTATTCTCAAGTGTAATTTCAACATTCTTAAAAAGTAAAAAAGGTGAGAACTTAAAATAAAATGGCTTTCCACGGTGCACCACTGATCCTGGCACCCAGGGACACCATGAACGTGCAGTTCCAGCCTTCCCAGTGCTGAAACCAGTGGGAGCTGGGAATGTTGAGCACCTGGAAAGCAGAAAACAGGGACAGAAGAGCAATGCTGGGAAGGGCATCACATTTACAGAACTTTGCTGAGCACAAACATCAAGAGGTATTGGGAGGGAGGAGGAGGAAGGATCAGCATCTCCTTGCTGGTGGAAGCCACCACTTCACATAACCTTGGAGGTGATCAATTAAATGGCCTCGAGAGGTTGCAACATTTCAGTGAACAACCCTCTGAGGGCAAAACCCAAGTCAAAAAATGAGCATAGAAAGGGCACAAAAAGAGTGAGCCAGTTTTGCTTTTGACAGAAGATGAGAATGACAAAAATGAAATAAAACCTGTCTCCTCATCCCCGGGAGCACTTCCTGTGTTTGTTTCCCATTAAGCTGTGATGGAATGCTGTGGATAGGGAGCGTGGCATTGTACTCACTGTACCAGAAGGTCCAGATGCTCTCAGGGTGGCCCTCACCAAAGAACCAGCACCGCCAGAAGAAACCCTCGTGGTGGAAAGTGAGGATCTCATTCCCGACTTCTGTTGGAGTTTCAGCCTGGGGAGGAATGAAAGTCCAGGCTGAAACAGGGAACGTCATGGTACAAAGAGTGGATGCTTTGCTTAGACAGACATTGATTTCATTTTTTATGGGGTTTTCATTTGTTTTTTTGAGTCAGTTTACAACAAATTGTCCTGCAGACCTGCACAAATCATTTGCCTCCTTTCCTCCTGTTGTTAAACCTCTGCTGGTCAGAGCTGGATGGGAATTTAAGGGATCTGAGCCTTCTGGGTGTGTTCTACTCCTCAAACACCTTCCTCCAACCCCCAGACCAGACCTACGAGCACAAGATTTTGGTCTTTCTTGCAGGGACAATATTGCAAAGTCAGCCATGGAATATTTACCAAAGAACTTATTAAAATTATCCCCAAAACCAGCTTTAGGCCCTGGAAGGGGCTCTGGGGTCTCCCCAGAGATCTTCTGCTTCCCTCTCCTAGATGTTTTATGTATCACATTATAGCAGCTTCCAGAGCTCTGACCTGATTCTCCTTTTACTTTCAGGATAAAACCCTGACTATGACAAGGGGAACATTCAGCCCTGCAACCTCCTCAGCTGGTGGCTCTGACTTGGTGCATCCATATTTCACTGAGCTTGCCAGATACTCAGCCCATCCTTATCTGTAAGGGACAGGATTTGACAGTTTAAGAAAGGGCAGAGAAGGTAAAAACAGAGCCTGTTATCCACAACCAGTAACAGAAATAATAGAAACAGTGTCTGAAATAGAAATAAAATAGCTCAGAGGGAAGAGTAAGAGCAGTTCCTATTTGTGCCTGGTGCTTTTGAAGTCACTGCCTCAGCGTCAGGCTCCCCAGCACTTGGCCAAGAGCATCTCTGAAATGTTTGAGATGCTTATTTGTGTCGTGCAGTGCATCACCTCTGCTCTCTCCACTTTTAAAAACAACTAAAATGTGAAACAACTAACACTGTCACTTCCCAACTACACAAAATACAAGTAGCACTTCTCTGTCTCTGCCATCCCCAGGCTTTACTGAGCTGCTTGAAATTAAAGACTCTGTTTTCCGTTTCACTTCTCCAGGCATTTTTCCATCACAATTTTTTTTTTTTTTTTTTTTTTTTAGTTAGGAAAGTCATTTGGAACCATGACTCAAGCAAACAGTGCCCTACATTTGATTATGAGATACTGAAATGAAAGAAAAACTATTTCTTGCTGGCATCATGATGCCTACCCAGGGTGACTCACTGCACCAGGAAAAAAATCAAACCTAATTGGATTGAACTTTGAAGTAACAAAAAGTCTGCACACAACGAGGATCTTCCTGTCATTCTGTAATGGAAACCACACATTGATTGGCACAAAAACATTTCGGGGGAGTGGGTGGCTCGAGGAACTGATCTGGTTGTTATTTCATTGAAGAGTTAGACAACAGCAAGTGCAGCAAGAATCCAACTTGAGGGATCTATAAACGAGTGACACCAGCCCTTAGCACTAAAATATCAAGCTGTCCATTGAAAATTACATTTCCTGCTAACTAAAATCCTATATAAACCTTACTCTGAGGATATCCAGGCCACTGGTCGGATGGGCAGGAACCCGTCTGCTCTGCTCTGTGTCTGATGTTCACTTTAGTTTGGTGTCTGTGCTGCAGCTGTACCACTTCAGATGGAAGTGACTGCCAAGGCCCACCCTTTTAAACATGAACTAGTTTTAAATGAAAAAACTACAGAGGGAGAAATCTTTTAATGGCAAATATCAGGAGATATCTTTTGTCTTTAGAGGGAAATGCTGTCAACAGCTAAAGCTCTTACATTTTTGCCTTTCATTCTCTAATGTTCATATCTGCCAGATTACAAAGATCTCTTAATGCTTCCTAGACACAATTTACTCCAGTCAAAACCTTCAATATTATGGAAAAGCCGTGTTGGATTTTAAAGAATTTAAAGTTTTACCTCAGGCTGACGTTTTACATTAACAGGTCACTTTCATCGAGCATAAACATTATCAGAGATTTCAAAATTTTAAGATCTGCAATGATTTAGGCAAGTTCTTTCAAAGCACAAGATTTCAGAGCTCACCCCCCCGGTGCTCAGAGTGCTGTTCCCATGCTCGAAGACCCCGCAGGTGTCGGTGGCCAGGAGCCAATAATCCGTGCCAAAGGCGATGAGGAAGAGCAGCACCCCGGTGCCCCCGAGGATCCCGGCTGCCAGGGCAGCTGCTCCAGCCTTCATGGGGCAGCAGGGGGGAAACCAGCCCAAGGGGGACTCAGGAAAGGAGGAAAAGCCCCGAGTTTCCCGGGTCTCTGGGAGAGCAGGGCCAGAGCAAAGCTATTTTTGGGCGTGGGTAATGATCTCCTGGCTGGTGTGAGTTTCAGTGGGTGGTGGGGCAGGACTAATAAAAGCAGATGACCTGGTGTAAGCGAGCAGCTGTGGCATTAAGGATCATGACCAGCAGCCACAGAGCCATCCAAGGGGACACATGGCTGCTGCTGCTGCTGCTGGCAGAGGAGCAGAGCCAGGAGCCCTGAGGACACAGCTCTGGGTCACGAGTGCAGAATTCCTGGGACACCGGGGAGTTACTCCCACCCCTCCCTGCACACACGAGCAGAGGTGGACTCAAAGGTCTTCCCCACACCCTGGAGCCCGTGGTGTCCTCAGCCACTGTGGTGACACCCCACAAATGGCACTTCTGGAATTTGCGTCTCCTCCTTCCTCTGAGCAAAACTCTGATGTGGTTTTTACAGAAAGCAACCCCAGGAATGCAAGAAAAACATTAAAAGACTGGGAGATCTGAACTATCCCAGTGCTCCTGGGAGGGGTGCAATCACCACCCTTGCACCAGGCAGGTCCACATGGAGCTGGGCAAGGAGCATCCAGCCAGGTGCACACATGGACACACCAGGGATGTCCTGCAGCTCTCAATTATATTCTCCCTCCTGCCGTGGAAAAGTGAATTATGTGGGTCCATACCCCTCCCACCCACCCAGCCTGATGTGGGAGAAGTGTCTCCTGGGAGCAAGGACATTCCTGCATGGAATTTCACTTCCATTTGCTTCCTAATGTTTTTGGCTTCTGCTGGAGCATCTGCTGTAGATCACTGCCAAGAATGGGATGCCAGACTAGGAAAATTATAATTTCTGTAGGGCAATAACTATATTCCTGTGGCATGCCAGGAGGCTGGGAGAAGAAATTTAAATTACAGTCAAAAATCAAGTTCTGATTTTCTAACCTTAGCCATGACCTGCTCTAAACAGGGGGGGTGATGATGTTGACTTCCCTATCCTCTGGGAATTTGTGCTACCAAATTAATTTCCAAATCAATTTAATATTTAAAGTTACCTGTGAACATATGGGTATCTCAAAGCAACTGCACACTGTTTGGGGAACCTGGAGAGGGTTGGGAAAAATTTTGACCACACTTCTTATTGAGGCATACAGAGTGATGAATGTTCTCAATCTTCCGCTGTGCTTCTATAAGCAGAACAGAATTTAAATTATAATAATTTATTTTATCCTCTGCATTGTCTTTCTTAAATATTGCAGGGCTAGCTGTTAAATAACACATCAGACCTCTCTCCCTCACTGTGCCAGGGGCAGAGTTGCTCCTGGTTTAATCTGACCATGTGAGGAATTCAACAGGACCCAGGATCCAGAGCAATCCCTTCACTGACACAGGGAAAAGGAGAGCTGGGACAGGGTGCACACTTACACACTTTGCAGGGTCAAAACTCAGCCACAGAGCTGGGATTCTGCAGGAATAAACACACCCTGTCCACCCCATTGCCCTGCCATGCCACTGGAAACACTCCCAGCTCTGCAAGGGATTTCCATGTAGGTTCTTGTGATCAACCCTCCCTAAACCTCCACTCACCCCATTCCTACACAAATTACCCTTTCCCACCTCATCCCAGCATATTCACTCTTTTCCCATAGTTTTGAACACCCATCTCCCAGTCACTGATGCTTCACTGCTGCTCTTGGTAGTGAACATAAAATGGCTGATAAAATACAAAATGCAACTTATCTATCACCTAAATAATCAATTAGTGCAATTCCAATCAGCCATTTAATCACCTGTCTGAAGTAACAATGACCATTGGTTGCCATCTCTTCTTGTGATCTCCTCTTCAAAGCTGGACACAACTGACAGGAGCTTTGGTAACACCCAGAGCTGGGTGAAAACAAGGATTTGCACACCAGGAGTGAGGATTTTTTTTGTAGCTCACACTGCAATTACATAAAATTAAAATGCAAAGTGGGCACTAGTGTATTTTTGGTTTAAAAAGGGGATTAATGCACACTTCCACAGGAAGTGTGGGTGTGTTTTGAGCCAGCCGTATTTGGCACAGCTGTTTTTGTGCTACTGCACATCCCAAGTTAGTGCTGTTTGCCATTTGGAAGTGTCCTCTGGAATTCTGGGTCCCACTGGCAGCCAAACTCTGCGTGGCTGAGGCAGAACATTGCTGGTGCCCAGCCTTGGCTCTCCACAGGATGCCTTGTGCCCAGTCAAACATCCTCCAGGTTCTGAGGCTGTGGATCAGGAATTGAGTTCCCAAGGTTGAAATGTCTCTCCATGCCCTGAAATCCCACTCCTGACAGGTGTTTCTTTTCAAAGACAGGTTGGACAGGGATTGCAGCATCCTGGTCCAGTGGAAGGTGTCCTTGCCCATGGCAGGATTTAGAACTGGATCATCTTTAAGGTCCCTTCCAACCCAAACCATTCAGTGACTCCAGGATGATTCTGTGACTCCTTGTCACAGCCCCAAGCGTGTCCTCATCACCTTCAGGATCCAAAAAAATCCTGGGCAATGAGACCATGTGGTCTCTCCCACAGCCTGTAGAAAGTGGGAGTGATGATGTTTGTCCTTTGGAACCTGTGTTGGGATTTTGGGAATGCCACACCAAAGCCAGGGGGGTGAATCAACCACCCAGCACCTCATTCCATGCAAAGGCAGACACAAATGCCATTTAACCCCCAAGGAAAACAGCCCTTCCTTTTTTCCCTTGCCTCTCCTGGTGCCTGCAGGGACCTGCCTTGAGCATCCTCTTCTCCACAGAGGTCAAACGACAGTGCCACCATGGGCAGCTCTGGGACTTCAGTGGTTGAAAAGGAAACTTATATCCTGAGCATTTATTAATTCCTAATTGACCCTGAGGATTTTTTGTTGTTGTTGTTTTCACTTAAGCTTTTAAACCAAAATTGTGACTCTCCAAAACATACATATTCTAGCAAGGAGCTGGGGCAAGTCAGCTCAGATTTTTCACAGAATTGGGTGTTTTACCTTTGAATTGATCAAAGACTCCATCAACACAGTCTGTGTTGTTATTTCCTGTAGTTTGATCCGAGCTCACAGAATAATTTACATTTTATGTAGATAGATCAACATATTTTCAGTCTCTCAAGCAGAAAGCAAAGGATTTCTTGGAATTTGATAAAGAGATGAGTTTCCAGGGCTGCCTTTGGAGATTTCACAGAGTCCCTTTGGAGATCTGCAGACCTTTCCTCACTGGAGCTTGGCCTGATGATCCTGGGTGGTGAAATCCTGGAATAGGCTGTTCAGGGCAGGGGGAGTCCCCATTGCTGGGGGGATTTAAAAGCTCTGTGAATGTGGCACTTGGAAACACAGGTCAGCAGTGGGGGAATGGTCAGGCTCCATGGTTTTAAAGGGCTTTAATTTGTAAACTAAATTATTCCATGGTTTTAATTTGCAAACTAAATTATTCCATGGTTCCATGATCTGCCCTGCTCCAAAAGGTGTCCCACGTGGTGTTTCCTCAGGTAGGTCAGTGAATCTTTCTCAAGTATCTTCTTTTACTCTTTTCTCCCCAAACCTCTGAACAAAAAGACACCAAGGACAGCAAAGCCAACCAGACCACAACAAGAGCACCCCAGCACTGCCAACTTTACCTTGGAAAAACCCAATGTCCCCAGTGGTTTCACAAAGAGCATTCCCCCAGCCTGAGCCGTGCTGGAAGGGAGAGCAATAGATACCCATGTTGACATTTGCCCCTTTAATTCTGCATTAAATTTATAATCTCCAGTTCATCTCCATCACATGCTCCTTTTTCATCTCTCCCGTCTCCACGTCTCTTGGAAGAAGCACATAAGCCTGGATGTTGAAAGATCCTTAATGGTGCTTCTGAGGCTGAATCCCCTCCAGGACTTGATGTCAGTAGAGAAAAAAGCTCAAATCTGCCTCACCTGCTTCTCAAGCACTGCCAGCCCTTTCCAGGATTAAGTCATTATAATCTCCTTAAGCAGTCATGAAATAAAATAAACACAAGTGTGGTTTTCTGCTCAAAATAAAAAATACTAAAGTTCACATGAGGAAATGCTTTTGGAGTTGTGAGTACAGGGAAGATTTTGCCTGATTTTCAAATGCAGCTGACTGATGTCTTTGCAAAGAGTTTTCTGATGTGGTTTTTGGGTTCTTGCTTTGCCATCAAGCTACTCCCTCATTAACAACTTTTGCTCATTTTAACCTGAACTTTCCACAGACTCCAGTAAACTTCCAGAGTAGGCACAGAGCAAAAACTCTCTGAACTCCTAAAGGATTCAAACTGATGCAATTTATTTCCACAGAACCATGCAATATTCAATGATACACTGAATCCGTGTTTTTAACACTTTTTAAAGGACTAAAACCCTGGAAAGAATTAATTAGGCATGCTCTGAAGCCTGAGCACTTAACAGTTTTCCACTCAGTTGTAGAATTTTAAGACCACCAACACTGGATACTGGCAAAGATTATCAAAGGTATTCTGGGCTGAAATACAAACTAGTCAGAGGGCTTGGCCACTGAGTGACTGGAAAATACTTCATGAAAGCTTTAGCCAGGCTATTATATTTTGTAAAGAAATTTTAAGAAAAAATCTGCAGTATCCAGAAGGTTAAATTTAGGGCAGAGTGACTCACTGGGAAAAAATGTCCTGCTGGGAATATTGTCTTCTCTGCAGATCAAGCAAATTGCTCATGCAGCAGAGAGGTATTGAAGGACCCAGCACTCCCAGTGGGGCTGGAAGGGAATGATGGGCTGGGATCCACGAAGGATCCCATGCCTGAGCATGGGAATGTGGGGCTGGAAGGGAATGATGGGCTGGGATCCATGAAGGATCCCATGCCTGAGCATGGGAATGTGGGGCTGGGCTGGAGCAGCCTCTGCAGCCACTGCACACCCAGAGCCAGCAACCTCTGGAAGTGCCAGGAGCTGGGAGATGCTGGCATGGAAATGTCCCTCGTGCTGAATTGAGATGAAAATGTACCATTTAAAAAAAAAATCCAAGTAATTTTTTTTTACCTTTTTTTTCCACATCAGATAAAATTTCCATTCAATTTTCTGGCATTCTTCCAACCACTTCTGTTGCCTACAGCAGTATTGCAAAGAAATCTACCTGTGCCAAAAGAGCCACCATTAAGTAAGGCCCTTGATAACCCATAATGGTATTGCAAAGAACTGATGGGAGTCTCAACTGAAGCAAGTTCCTTATTTAAGTGCCTGATGCCCAGAAAAATGATGCATGCTGTACAAAGATGACAAGGATGGATGCAAGACAAAGATGGTACAGACACGCAGGTATTTCAGACAAAAATAACACAGGTCAGATGCAAAAGCATAAAACCAAAATAAAAGAGCCAAAAAAAACCCAAACAAAACCCAAGCAAGAATTAGTCAATCACAGTTTCTACCCTTGATTACAAACTCCTAGACAAGCAAATTGATTTAATTTCCTTTTTGCTCTCCCACTATAGAATAAAAATTACTCACCTTAGTAAATCCTCCTATGACTATTTACTGTGCAGAATTTAAGGAGAAATTTATAACACTGAGGACATAAAACTGCAGGTGAACAGGGACATCCCAACCCCAGAGAGCTGAGGACCTTCAGGTTCAGTATTTTTTTCTCTCTCCCTTATATGCAATGGCTTTCACCAGTGAACAACAACATCAATTTTATTTCCTTGTTACAATTGCTTTCCTCACTCGTGATCTTGGGATCACTGGCCAAGGGTTGAAGGAGCTGCTGGTCCTGGAGGATCTCTTGGATCTTCCCTGATCCTAGAGGATCAGCCTGGAATGACACCCAGAGATGCCCCTGAGTGTCCCCAGCTCCTGATGATGTCACCAGCAGCACGTTGAAGATGCAAGGAGAGAATAACTCAGAGAGGATCCCACAACACAGCGAGTTTAATTGAAATAGAAATGTAGAACACTGCAGCATATTCATAAATGTGTTAGATTGTATTATATATTACAACAAACTCAAAGATGGGCTGTTTTCTAAACCAAGTACAGCCAAACCCACATGGCTCCCATGCACATGGATTAAACTAGGAAAAAATCCAAAATTGTAATGAATGGAAGATGACAATGAGCCTATATTAAAATCCATGCATATGTACATATATGTATATACACCTGTAAAACACACATCTATTGGTAAAAGCTCAAATTTTCCTTTGCATTTCCAGTGATGGAGTGACCTTCAAGTCAACATGAACCACCTCAGCTTATGCCAGGACACCATCAAGGGGTATTTTTAGAAGAAAATGAGATCTTGGATCGTTGCAAAGCAAATTCACACAAATTTGGGCCTTTAATTTAAAAGGAAAGCCCCAATGTACCAGGGGTCTCCTAAGGGAGTATTTCTGCCCACTGGAGTTTGGTTCTGCGAGCCCAAAACTATCATGGAGGGGAGTCTGTGAATTCCTACAGTTTCTTTTAATGCTGTTTCAAAAAGAGCCACTCGTTCAGATTAAACACTCTTGGATGAGAGGAAGGAGAAGAGAAAGAAAAATGTCAACACGAAACTAAAACTTGCCCTGTCAGGTTCAGTAAGGACAAGAATTCAAAGGCTTGAACTTACCTGGAGTTTCAAAGAAAATTACCCAAAGCAGGGGCTACCTGTCTTCCTCAGGTCCTATTCCCAGAGTTTTCCTGCATCTGCTGTGCAAAGGGCTCACACATTTCCTGGGAAAAGCCACCAGGGTTTGGGTCACCCTCCTGGCCCTTTCAAACCCCTCTAAACCCACAGCTCCCAGCTATGGCAGCACAGATCATCCCAAAATATCTGTGCAGGATTAATGCGACCAACCAACCACATCAGAAACCTTTCCTATTTATTTAAGGGCTGTCACCGTCATCTCCTGCTATCACCACTGGGTTTGGAGCCCCCTCATTTTAACTTTGAGGTGAATCATTCCTTACATAAATTTTCAAAAACTAGAAAGAATATATGTCTCCCTTTTAATTCAGCTGCAATAATTTTTCATTAGCAGAATTGTGGCTGGATGTGGGACAATCCCTCAGGTAAGACACAGCCCCTTACTGAACTATGTCATTTAACTTTGGGCTTCATGAGATTAATGTTTATACTCAGGACCTATCAATTCCTGAGGAGGAGAAGAAGAAATCTGTTGCTGTTTCTGCTCTTTCCTCCATCCCCTAATAAAACCTCCTTTGAGATTATCAAGTTTTTCCCAACCTATAATCCAAATGCTCCCTGCTGTTTAGCCTACCCCTGAAAACTAATGAGAAGATCCCATATCTCACCTTATTAAAATATCCTTCCTTGCAGTTGTAGGCAGTTTCAGCAATTTTCCCAGACTGAACAGGCTAATTTTTCCTAGAAATTCCTTAAAAATGTCCCCTCAGCCACTTCCTGGCATTGCTGGGCATCTTTTCCCTCAGTTCCCACAGAAAACCCAACACTGGGCAATAAGAATGACTTTCCATGCAAACCACTCTGGATACTCCACCCTGTCCACGCTGTCCTTTCCAAAGTGCATCTTGTTTACATTATCTACGCATCCAGCAGCCCTCCCTGAAGGAGTCAGAGCCCTCATGGGCAGCCAGAGCATCCTTTGTGTTTGTACATCTCCAGAGTCAGCTCCTTCAGCCCCGTGCCGCTGGGCTGGGGCGGTGGGATGGCACACACGGACTTGGACCGGCTCTCCTTCACCTCCCGGACCTTCTCCGTATTCCCCACTGTGGGAAGAGAAACAGCACAAGAAACACCACAGGAAACATCACAAGAAACACCCCAAGAAACATCTTTCTTTGTGGTTCAGCAGGAATGAAGGAGCACCAAGGTGGCCACATGCTCTTGGGGGATGAGCTGTTCCACTCTACTTCCCATTCATAAAACAGGAGACAAAAATCAGTGTTTTCATGGAAGGAAAAGCCAAAAAAAGAGATTTAAACCCAGGTTTACACTTCAAAATACATAAAGTATTTGGATCAGTATCATCATTCTTTTGTCAGTCCACATCTGCAGCTTTGCAGAGCAAAAATTCACATTGGTGACTTCCTAAACCTCTGGAAAATGCAGGTGTCCTGCTGGAGCACCTGGAATGTCCTGTTGTCATATTATGGGATTGTTTGACAGGAATGAACATGCAACCATGACAGAAGGGTTACAATCTCCTTCTGTTCTGACACCACTGTATGTCAGGGGCCATGGTGCTCATGTTTTCTTTGGGGTGGAAAAAAATTTTACCCAGAAATAATGGTTTTTATCACTTTTCTCTGCTTACAGTCACAGTTTTCTTCAGGAAGAACATTACTGAAGTACTCATGGTAAACTGTGGATTAAAACAGCTACATCCCAAGTTGGATGAGGCAACCTGACGTAGTTGGAGAGGTCCCTGTTTGTGGCAGAGGGGTTGGATTAGACGGTTTTGAAAGAGCCCAAACCATTCACTCCAACCTTTGGCTGGGCAGAGAGGTGACACCAGGGCTCTCTCAGCTCTTCTTGCTCCCCCATGAGGCTCATTTAAGGAGCCCCACTCTGTCCCACAACCCCTCTGTCACCTGCTGGGCCATTCCATGGGGATGAGGGTGGGCAGGGGAGGGCAGGGAATGACCCCCAGCTCCCCAACTTACCCGTGAGGGAGCGGCAGAGCTTGGGCTGCGGGCTGGGCTCGTCCTGCGCCGAGCACGAGTCCTCCTTCTGCGACTGAGGGAGAGAAGGGCTTCAGTGCCTGGTGAAACCTGCTCACAACATTCCTGCCTCATAAACCTGCAATCCCTAAGGATTCCACTCCCTTTCGGTTCGCTTTTGCCATGTAAAAATAAACAACAACAACAAAAAAATAAGGATTGCTAAAAACAGGCTGAAGAGATGGCAGGAAGTATTTGCAGATTGTGATTTGCTACAACAGAGAATCATGGAATGGCCTGGACTGGAAGGGACCTTAAAGATCATCCCATTCCAATCCCTCTGCTGCGGGTGGGGACACCTCTCACTGGACCAAGTTGCTCCATCCAAACTGGCCTAAAACCCTTCCAGGGATGGGGCATTCACAGCTTCTCTGAACAACACTGCAAGCTCTTTATGGAATGTCAAGAATTTAGAAATAAAACTGAGCCAGTGTCAGAGGCTTAAACAATTAAAATGGCACAATACAGCAATTATCTTTTGAGTTCTGGAGGAGGTGTGAGCTCCCCAGGAATGGTTCAGCAGAGGATGGGAAGGAGCAGCCCTGGAGCTGTGAGAATGGGGCAGGGAGTGCAGAAGGCAAAGCTGTCCCCAGGATATGGATGTTTCTCACCTTGGCTGTTCCCCACGCTGGCTGCAGGCCAAGGAGGCAGGTAACGAGCTGGCACTAACGAGCTCCCTGTCCTTTCACTCCAGTGCTAATCTCCACCCTCCAGGACAAAAAAATCGGAATGAAAAAAAATAAAAATCAGGTAGCACAATGCCGCCTGGATTGTTCGGCGCCTCTGCAAACTGGGAATAAGTCTCTCACGCAGCTGTGATTTGGCACCTCGGTCCAGAAACCCAGACTGCCAAAATAACTCTGGACACCTCCCAGCCTGGTTTTCTGTTTTGTTTCGGTTCGTTCTCCTCCCTCCCCTAACGAGGACCGCTGCCCTCCATCCCTTGTTCTCCCTTTTATTGACCATTTTAATAACAATGCCTTCCCGGCTCCTGGAAAGCCATTCCCAGGGGCATTGAACGGTTCTCAGAGCATGCTCCATGAAAGGGCTCTGACATAATTACCAAAGGCACTCTGTCATTTACGCACATGGCTCACAGGCAGCTCCAAATAAGCTCCTTCTGGGGGAGTGCACTCCTGTTTTGGCAGGAGAAAAGAGGACCAAGTTGCCTGGCTACAGGTGCAAGGATTTTCTGGGTGCTCCGTGGTAAATAAAAGCTGTCCTGGGTCTCAGAACCTGCCCTGCCAGCTCAGGCTGGGCTGGATCCCTGCCTAAAATAAGGCCAGCCCCAAAAGCAGCCGGTGCTGGAAGCCAGCAATGATGCACGGCTCCAGGAAGCAGCAGCCTTCGGCAGGAATTTTGTCCTTAGGCAGAGGAAGGCGAACTCTCTGCTGGAAATAGATAGTCTTGGAGTTAATCCTCTGGGCTGTGGTTCAGAGCTGAAGTCACCTCGTTCTCCTGCCAAGGTCCTTCTGCCTGGTGTAAACCATTTAACCTGCTCTGGAGGAAGGAAGATTGTTCTTTTCTTGCTGCTTCTCCCTGTTTGCTCTCCAAACTCTCCTTGGAGGAGGCTCCAAGAGCCCCCTCTCCATGCTCCAAAAGCCCCTGAATTTCAGGAGACCCCTAAGGCACCTAAAGCCACCCAGGAGAGGCGACCCAGAGCCACAGAACAGTCTGGGGTGGAAGGGACTTCAGAGATCGTCCCTGTCCATCCCAACCCCTCCTGGCTGGAGCCGGTGTTGGGCACAGAGCTGTGTCCATCCTGGACAGGGAGGGCACCGCCTTCTCCTCTGGAAGGAGAGGGATTGCCCAGCAGCCAAGGTGAACTCGGCTCCTGCCCAGCCTGGAGAAGCCACCAACCTGCACAAGGATGTTCCCCCACACATCCCTGATTTTGTTTGGGGGGGGAAAAACCAACCAGCCCCTAATAAAATATGATAAATAAAATATTTAACTCAGCTACAAGAGCTTCATAGTTAACAGCAAAGCTCTCAGCAGCTTCACTAAAATGAAAAACAGACACTCACCAAACAGAAAAAACAGAGTTTCTACTGAAGCAAAGGGATTTTTAAATTATTCCCTCAGCTCCTAACGCTCAAGGTATCACCAAAGCTTTTTTCCAGGACTGGCAGTGGAATTGCAGGAGTTTCACCAGCACCACAGGGGTTCCAGTGGCCCTTTGCTGGAAGTTTATTCCCCGTCCCTGGATTTCCAGCTGGGGTTGCAAACACAGTTGTAATGCTTCCATCTCGTGGTGAGATGTAGAATAGAAAAACCTGCGGAGCAACAGCATCCAAGTTTTTCTTGCTGACTCAAAACCTGGAAGGCCAAACCCTTCCCTGTGGGACTACAAAGGATGGAATATCTGACAATCAGAAAAATCTCTAACACTATCGACATTTTACATTAATAGCTTTTTTTAATCAGGAAAATACCATTTCCTTTTCAATTTGGCATGGAAGAAACATGAGTAGCTGCTTTTTTCCCAAAAACTGGTAAGTATTGAGCTGCTTATAATAGGCTAAAATCTACTTTTTAGCACAGTGTTCTTTCTTTCTACTGACAAATTCTGCAATCTGTCCTCCTACAGCACGAAGTAACAGCATTCACCCACCCTCCTTAATATTATATAATTTTATATATATAAAATTAATATGGTGGTAATATTTCAGGGCTCTATTAGAGCATTATCCCATCACTTTGGGGCATCATTTTATTTCATTTCACAGTAAATGAGGCACTTATTCTTAAAAATGAGCAGGAAAGCTGCTGGTGACACAAAACAGGCCTGGCTTGTCCTTTTGGGCACTGAGGGATGGTCTTGGGTTAGAACCACCCTTACAGGTGTCATTGGGATCAGCTCCCAGTATTTACTATCATCTCCCAGGTCAGACAGGACATCCTGATCTAGCAGAAGGTGTCTCTGCCCATGGCAGGGGGCTGGAACTGGATGATCTTTAAGGTTTCTCCCAACCCAAACTATTCTGGGATTTACATCTGCTTCTCTTGGCCTGGCACAAAGCCAAGGTGGCTGCAGTGAAGGAGTGTGAGCAGCACCAAACAAGTGGCTCCCCAATGACACAACAGTCAATATTCAGCATCAAATTGGCATTTTCCATAATCCACATGGCATTTCCCACCCTCAGAGGGCATTTTCCATCATCCACGAGTCAGCACAGACACAAAGTGAATCCTACTGCTTTTGCAATTCCCCAAAAACTATTCTGTTCCCCCAAAGCCCAGCTGCAAGCACTCAAAGGAACAGGAGGAACAGCTTTCCCAAAGCTCCTGCATTTCCCACCAAATGCAGCAGAGAAGGGGAAAGCAGGAGCCCAAGGGTTAACAATCAAATATCCTTAAAGGAGGGAACGTCGTGCTCAAAATCAGCCGGAGTTTGATGTTGCTCTTTTGAAGTTTAATTATACCAAATGTTCTACAGGAACATGCCATGTTCTTGCCTATCTATTCTGAATTGTAAGTACCAATCAGCATGTAAATGATCAAATTAAATCTTTTAAGTTGTTTGCAAGAGCCAGAACACCTTTCTGGGGAGGAAGGGCTGAGCACCAGCAGCGTTTGGTGTGGTGCTGCCACTCTCGGTGGGCTCCTCCATGATTGGCACTTCCACAAGGAAACTGGAGTGGAAAAAAGTCCACAGCACCCCTGAGTTCTTGTGCTGTCATGGAAAATTACTTCTAAATAGGGAAGTGTAATTTGTTTCTTTTTAAAAGGTCATTTTGTTCTCATCAGTGATGGAGCTTGGCTGCTCAGATTAGAGATCACGCTCACACTTGGACAGTGCTCCCGCTCAAGCCATCAAAACCTAAAATTCAGAGAAGTGCGTGAAATTTAGGGATGGCTCAGCAATTACTGCAAGCACCAACCCTGCCAGAGCTCAAAGAGTGTTTGGGCAACACTTTCAGGCACAGGGTAGGATTTCTTGGGGCTGTCCTGTGCAGGGCCAGGAGCTGGCTCAGTGATTCTCATGGATCCCTTCCAATTCTGGATGTTCTGTGGTTCTGCACTGCTGCTGACCTGGGCATTTGTGAACAAAAGATGATAAGGGTTAAATGCTTTTCCTCTAAAGAGTTACAGAGGATGGGAGGAACTGAAAAAAACCAAGCCTACTCCTCATGCATCATCCCTGGAAACGTTTTTTTACCATAGCTAAATGTTGGCCCAGCTTCTCTCACCAATCTCCAAAGAGCAAAAGTCTTCACCAGGCACAGACATTGTATTAACCCTGTTTCTCCTCTGATTCAGAACATAAACCAACACAGAGCTATGCAAGCAGTAAATTGGAAAAATTTTCGTTTCTCACAGGAATCTGGTAAGCAAAACTTCGTTCTATTTTACTTCTTTCAAGCCTGCCCAGATCTGTAGATGTGTTTAAAAACAAAGAACTCACCCCCAGAATGCATAAGACAGATCACAAAAATGCTTCTGTCCTTTCAAAAGAGTTGGGGGGGGGGAACATTGAGCAGTTTCAAATATTTACACTCTGGACCACTGACAATGGGGGAGACAAATTCCTGTCTTTGATGAAATCTCCCAGAAAAGAAAACATGGGAAAACCAGACTTCAGGATGTACAGAGTGAAGCCCAGTCAGTGACATTTGCTCAGTGAAGAACTTTCCCAGCACGGATGGAAGTCACAAAGCACTGAACAGGGCTGTGCTCAGGATGGCTCCTTGCTTTGCCAGGAGCTGGTCTGGCGAGTTTTTCCCTTGGTATTTTTCCTATTCACTGGAATGCGATTTGGGATTGAGAGCCTTTTTAAAGTTGAAATAACAAGATTTGTCCTTCGAGGGAAACAGCATCAGCACTGAGCAGGCTGCGGGGAAAGCAGCCTGGGCTCCCTCTCACCTCCTTCCTGGAGCTGCAGGTGTCGCTCCCGCCCAGCTCCAGCAGCAGGCTCTTGTGCCGCAGGATCAGGATCTCGCTGTCCCCGGGCAGGGTGTGCCTGTTGTACGCCGGGCCCTGCAGGGGACACAGGAGCTGCTGGACACGGGACATCGCTGCCCTCCTGCAAGAGCCTCCTGCCCCTGCAGCCAGCCCGCCCAGCTATACGCACACTGGTTCGGGAGAGGTGGGGATGGAAAGAGCCACAGAAGGGAGATGGGACTCCAAACTCTGCTCTTTTCTATGTGAAATCACCCAAGAAATCCCTGAATGACAAGACTGAGTTACACCTGGTATCCAGGTATCCTCAGTGACTCAGCCCGAGGTGCCTTCACAGTTTCAGCTCCCCATGTTTTGTATTAACTCCACTGTCCCATATAAATCATTGGGAATCATAAATCCTCCTTCAAAAGCCACCACCCAGCCAAGCTGAAATCTCCCACTAACACCAGTGGGAGCTGGGATAATGCTGTCTCTACAAGGGGTTAGGCTGGATTAATGCAGGACTAAACTCAAACTGGAGCTGTGCCTTCATCTTCATCCCTCCACCATGTCCATAGGTTTCTTCCCAGCCTTATCCCACTGTTTCCCTCAGCTCAGCAAAGGGACAGGAGGGGGATCAGGACAGGCTGATCCCTCTGTGCTGAGCTGCCCACACCAGCCCCACCCCTGAGGACTCTGTATTTTGTGTGTGATCCATAAAACAAAGGCTTAGGTGATTTTAAGGCTAAGTCTCCCTAGGAACAGCAATTCCAGGTGCTGTGTGAAACCCCAGACATGATCCATGACTCTGTAAACAGCAAGTGGGGTTTATGCCCTTTAACCACTGGCACCAGTTCAAGGGCAAAACTGCTGGGTGGATTTAAAAGCTCTGCAGATTAATTCCCACTCTTCCATGGGGAAAAATGTACCATGAGGATTACCCCATCCCTGCTCTGCCCTAGAGCTGCTGCTGGATGTGCTAACCCAGTGCCTGAAGTTCCACGTGCTCCTCCTTTCTCCTATCCCTGCTGGGTACCGATGCCGAAAATATTCCATGAAATTATAGGCTGACTGGGTGAACCTTTCAAAAGCTGTCAGGCAGCAAACAGAAATGTGCCACTGACTTGGAAACTGGATCTGGCTCCACACAGCCAACTATTCTCTCCTCACAAAGAGACATCCTGGGTAATTATGGAAATATTCATAACATCTGCTCAGGCTGTTCGGAAAACCGAGGAAATTTGTGTCATTGGACACTTAAAATATGGATGGAGGGAGAAGTTGTACCGTCCTCCTGATCCGGTACAGGTTCCTCGCCAATATTTCCTGCATGTTGTCCAGGACATCAGGATTTGGAGTGTCCTCCAGTTTTTGGTCTGTTATCACAGTCCTGTCACTGCTGCTGCAAAGGAAAGCAGAACACCTTATTTTGGAAGTGTATCCCCAAATCTCAGTGCCCCTTTGGGATCCCACCACAGCCAACGTGACCAACAGCTCATCTCTGCAGATGGAGCTCACGGCAAAGCAGGAATTTGGCACTTGCATCAGAGCTGGGCTGTCCATATGCTCCCTGGTGGATAAAAGAGCCACAGGGAGCTGTGGCAGAGCAGAACCATCTGTGAGGTCTGAAGAGGCCATTCAGAACATTTAACAGTGCAAACCCATCCAAAACTGGGCAGGAGCCTCTCCCTCAGAGCACCATTTCCCTGTAACTCGTGGGGATACAGGTGCCCCTCCATGTGCCACCACCAGTGCTGGGTGATGCTCACCCACCCCATCATTTTTACCCCCAGCTGCTGAGTTTGAGGCGGTGTTTGCTCACAGGAAGGAGGGGTGGGCCAGGCCGTGGCCCAGCTGCCCGGCCTGGGCCAGCTCCATGGCGTGTTTGCGCTCCAGCTTCTCGTAGAGCAGCACGATGCTGGACTTGGGCTGGTCGTACTCCCTGAGCAGGATCTTCTGCAGGTATTTGCTGTTAAAATATTCCAGCCTGTCGGAGAACAAAATGAGACGGGTTTAGCTTCTCCCCTGACTCCCCAGCACCAACAGACCTGAGCAAGGCAGCAGGGTCACAGCACATGAATGCCCCATGTTCCATTAAATTCCATTATATCCCATTAACTCCTCCTTCAGAAATCGATGGTCCAAGAGGTCAGTCCCTAATTATTTCTGCATTACAGTACATGAGTCAAAATATTAAAACTTCACTAATTACAATAAAAACTCCCCAAAAGTGACAGATATATCGTGAACTCCTCTAGAAGTGCTACATCTGCAGTAGTCACAGATGTCAATACTTCCAGATTCCCTCTAGAGCCATTTCCTCTTCTTTTCTGCTCAAACTGTTGAATAATTTAGGTTGGAAAAGACCTCTGAGATCATCAATCTCTCTAAGATCTGCTCACAAGGAGCCAGGATGCTCCTCAGCAGCAGTGTCTCCCATACCCTCTAGTGGCACTTCCAAGCATGGGCATTCCTAAAAAATCTCTACCAGCTGCATCTGGTGCCTGGACCACCAAGGAATTAAACCTGGTAGATAGTCTTTTTAGTAAATTTTATGGAATTTGTATTTTTCTTTTTGTAAATTCTGATGCCTTTTTATTTAAATTTTAAAACGTACAAACTCCCAGAATTTAATGAAAATCAAACGCTTTGCTACAGAAATCTGTAGAGATGCTCTGTAATTTCAGTCCACACCAAGCAGTGCTGCAAACTCAGCTCTTTAATGTTAACTGTGCACAGCCTGGCACAGTGGGCCATGGCGCTTCCAGCAGATTTCTTTGGGCAAGAAGGGACAAACACGACAGGAGAGGAGAAAGGATCTTTTCAGGGTGATGCAAAAGAGGTGTCTGCAAGCAGGGAAGTGCCCTGAAAACCTGGTGTCCCCTTGGACAAGGAAAAGCTGCCCCTCTGTCCCCTCCCTCATGCCACAAGGATGAGCAAGGCCCAGCTGCCCACAGCAGAAACTTTGGGAATAAAAACCGACCTCCTTTTTTTTCCTACACGTGTACACAGTTGTATTTTGGCAAATCCTTACTTGTCTTTCCAGTAATACTGTCCCCAGTGTCCAGATATATCTTCAATGCCAGCCAGCAAATGATCCAGGAACTAAAGAGGAGAGAGGATTTCACTCTACGCCGGTTGCATACGCGATGAACCCGGGCAGCAAACAGCAAAAACCACACACACAACAGGGGATGGGATGCTTCCAGCTCAGGATATGGAGCTGGGAAACAAGGAGAGAAGGCACTGGGACCATTCTCCATCCGCTCATCCACTGGTGCTGGAGTACAATGAGTGGTTTGCTTCCAGGTGTGGGCAAGCAGAGGATAAATGCTGAGGGCCATGAATCTGTTCTCTGTGATGGGTGCAGGAGGGCTGATGGCTCCCATGTCCTGCCCTCTGGGCCTTCCTTGACCAGCAGGAAAGGCTCATTTTGGGGTTTTGAGGACAATTTGTCTCAGGGAATCGGTATCTTCAGGATATAAATGTAGGTAACACATAAATGTTAATCTCAAAAAATAAATACTGCCTTCCCCAGACACTTCCCACTAAATAAAATCATCACATCATACTTTATATGAATACATTGTTATTGTTTAAAATTATATAAAAAATCCCAGCCTGGTTGTGTTTTCCACCTCAAAGTTAAATGCCTGTAATTTCCCAAACTGCCTTCCCTCCTAATGGCATCTCTAAACTGGGAGAGGCTTCTGCTCTGCTGGCATCCACACTCAGGTACCAATGACCCTGGAACTTTCTACAGCTCTAAATTTTTAAAAAAACTATCTTTTTGGGGGGTCAGAGACAGAAAAGTTTCAGAGCAGCTGGCTCAGCCCTGCAGCCTGGTGTGGGTTTAGTGCCCTCACATGGCTGTTGGCAGCTGTGAGCTCCACAAACACAACACTGGAGGGAAGAGTCCCATCCCTGGGAATGTCCCATCCCTGGGAATGTCCCAGGCCAGGTGGGACAGGGCTTGGAGCAACCTGGGATAAGGGAAGGTGTCCCTGCCCATGGCAAGGGGTGGAATGAGATGAGTTTTAAGGTCCAACCCAAACTATTCTGAGTCTTTGGAGTTACACTCAGACACTCTGATCATCACTCCTACGAGCAAGAATATCCCAACTATCCAGATGGCAAAATAAATTTGAGGAAGAAAGCTACTTCTGGCTTCTGCAACCCTGATTTCCAACGATGCATTTTTACCTTCTCAACTTAATTGGTGCATGACCATTTTCAGCTCACACCTCCTAATAAACACACTTCTGAGATGATTTACCATTCACACCCTAATAAAAGAACAAAGTCTTCTCTGTTCATGACTTGAAAAGTCTGTGTTAAACTCAGAGAAAGCCCAGCAGTCCAACCCCATTGTGAGGATGCCAAACAGGTTTTACAAATGTCCTCAGCCCCAATGGCTGTATTGCTAAAGAAACAATGACAATAATATTCCTGAAGGAGCCATACCCACAGAAACGTGGCTGGAATTGAGCAATTAGATTCAGAAATATATTAATTTTCCATTGGATGCAGATGCAAGTGCAAAGGCTCAGCTGAGTGGGAGAGCAGCTGACCCCATGGAGCTGAGCCTCTCCTTGAAGTCCTCTGTGACTACAAATACCAACATTTGGGTGGTGAGAACAAGGGGAATGAAATCCCACCTTTGAGTTATGGATGTAGCATCACAGAATGGTCTGGGTTGGATGGGACCTTACATCTCATCTCATTCCAGCCCCTGCCATGGGCAGGAACACCTCCCACTATCCCAGATAGCTCCAATCCCCACCCAACCTGGCCTCGAATAATTCCTGGGATGGTGCACTTCAGAGGTTCCCTCCAAAACAGCACCAACCTTATCCTCCCTTTCCTCATTTTTTTGCAAAAATATCCAAACCAATGGTGGTGATGGGACTGGAAATTCCTAATCCTAAAAGCCACATGGAAATTCCTAATCCTAAAAGCAATCAAGCCTCATTTTCTTTCTCTTGTTCCAGAGACCAGAGAAATTTGAGTTAGGTCAGAACTTAAAGTTTTGGGCAAGAAATCATCTTTTTCTCTCGTGTTTGTGCACTACATGATGTTACATCAATCACCCTGATTGTTGGTTGCTCTTCCAATGCAAAAATAGGTTAGGAACCTGAACAGGACTTACAACATGGAAAGGGGCTGGTATAACTGCAGATTTTGCAAATTTGGGTAAAACTGCAGATCTGCAGGGTCCCTGGAGACACACACATTACAGGAGATACCAGAAGGCTCTGGCCAGGTGTTGATGGATGCTCCACTTACCCTGATGTGGATCTGCTCTCCCACAGTGGGAGCACTCTCCCTTTTCCTCTTGACAGCCAACAGGTCAACGAGGGGGCGGATGGTCATTCCCTGCAGAGTGACCACAGACACAGAAATCAGCCTTTCCTCACACCCAATTTTCCTGCACTGGAACAGAAGCCAGCAGCGTGGGGCTGAGCCACAGCAACCCCGTTCTGGTGTCTGAGCAGCCTCCCTCACCTGCCCTGCTTTCCTGGCAGGATAGAACCTGCCAAGCTTCAACAGGACTAGAAATTGTTCTCCCAGGTGTACCCCAAACACTTTGTTTGCTCCTGGTAGGAACCTGTCAATGGAGAGGAACTCACAGAGAGGCTTCAGGATGGGGGAAGAAACTTCCACTCGCCACCTCCGGCCTCTCTGAGACCACAAAACCCAGCCAATAATTCCAAGGTCAAGCCTGTGGTTTGCTGTTGCTCATGGCCTCCCAGATGGAAAGGGGCTCGAAACAATCCAAGTTCAAATGCCTGAAATGGGGATAATCCCTGAGATTTCTCAGCACGGAGCCTCCACCAGCAATTGTCTGCTCACTCCTTAAGCACTGGATGTCACACACCATTACTCCAGCAATCTCTGATGGCCAGCCAGTGGCTGAGTTTCCTAATCAAAGCATCCACCTGGTGGGAAGGGTCAAGGAAAAGTTTTAATATCCTTTAAGCCTCGTGAGAGAACTAAAATGCTGCTGTGGTGTGTTTCTTAGTCCGGCTGCTGCATGAAATGACTTTTCTAGGACATGTTTACAGCAAAAATGATGGAGTAGTTGATGTTTATGACTTCTGAATGTCACAAATGCTGGCACGGAGAAGAGTTGAACACATTTTTAATTGCAGAAACAATTAATGTGTCATTTTAATAGCTAATAGCAATAAAAAATGTGTCGCTATTCAGTCAATAACACAGAACTCACAAATTCCAGAATAACAGATATTACAAAAATTAGGCAGAGACTGTGCAATTTGGCCTCTTGCCTTCCTGGATAATCAGCTGCAGTTGTTTCCATTTTAAAGCAGCATTTGGGACTGTTATGGGAATCCCATGTGTCATTATAGGCCACACATCATTTCCCAGCACACCTGCAGGTCCCCTGTGCTGCTCCTCCATCCACCAGGGATAACTCATCCCAGGGAGTGTCTGACAGCTCCATCACAGCTCACACAACATTTTCCACCTCCAGAAATCCAGTGGGACAGTGCAGGCATCAAACAACCTCCCCCCTTCACAATTATTACATTTGCTCAGAATTTCATGGCAGAGGTCAGGGGCCAGTAAGTTGAGAGAGTGAACTTCCAGAAGTATTTGATTTTAAAAGCACACCAAGAGGCAGAACAATGAGGAGGGGGTTGTGACATTCCAGACAAGCCCAGAGAGCTCCCTGGAGAACTTCCTGGTCTACGCTGGCACATAGCCAGCCTGCTTGGAAGCACTGAGGAACTGACAATGGCTCAGTCACCCTCCTCAAAAAATGATTAACCAGGCTTGTTGTGGGAAGAGCCTTATGCAACTGGGCTAGGAAGGCCAAAAGAGAGGAGTTTTCTGGCTTGTGGAATGCTCTGATAGAGCCACGGGTGGCCAAGCCCAGCTGTTCACAGGGTGGTCATTCCTCTGTGGCACAAGGGTTTCCAGCCAGCAGGGGCAGGATTTCCAAGGGAATCATTAATGTGGAGGGTTTGAGCTCTGACAAGATGGCCCAAACCTGCCTAGAAGGGCTCAAATCACCTCTGCCTTGGTTTCTGTCCTAACACAGACACTCCCCAACAAGTCTATATTAAGACTACTGTGAATATAGAGAAAACATTTTGCATTAAAAAAAAGAACAAAAAATGTCCACTATGCACTGAAGTTGTTTCACAGCCAATATTCCTCTTGCCCTTTCCACACAGAGTGACCACAAAAAACGCTGGGATGGTAAAAATATTTCCTCCCCAATAATGCATCCATCAACGTGTCTAGCAGCAGCACCACAAACTTGATTTGCAAACCCAGGTTTTTGAAGAGTCTGTTACATTTACCCACCTCTTCCTGTGCTGAGCTGCAGCAATATCTTTCTGGTTTTAAGTAATTTTCCTGTTTTTCCCTGCCCCTGTTGTGGTGGTGGCCCTGGCAGTGCAGGGAGCCCAGCACTGCCCCTCTGCAGACACAGAGCCCCTGAAAGGCTGAGGGTCAGGGGGTCTCCCCAGTGACACAGGGACCCTGTTTAACTCTCACCCTTTTGCACGGGGATGACATCAGCAGCTGAGCTTTGAGGTTACACAAAAGCCCTTTTCCCAAAGCCTGGAGCTGCTGCCTTGGAACAACCTTTGTGTGAGGCTCGGGAGGAGCGGACGTGCCTGGGGACCGGGGCTTTTCAATTTCTCACCCACATTTGCATCTTAAAACTTGTCAAGCTCCACCTTAGCACATCCCCCCCACGCCGGGCCTGGGCCCTGCTCTCTCCTTTCAGGCTGAGACTGTGCCCAGTCCCACTGCCCTGCAGCTCCCAGCTCTGATCCATCCTCCAGCTCAGGATGAGGATTTGGGTGGATGTGGGGAAGCAAAATCAACCCCAACCTTCCACATTGTCCCAGTGCTCGACACCCACCTGAGGGGTTCAGTCAGGAGAAGCAGGAGGAGTTTGCTCTGAGGGTGATGCTCAGCCACGGGGCCACTCTGCAGCTGCCACCACAAGCCACCATTTCCCAAAGGCCCAGAAACTCCCCTGCTCCTGGGCAGCAGCTCCTCATGGACCTCATCTCCTTGACCAGGAGCTCGCAGGGAGTTTTTCTACATGAGATCTTTCCCAAACACCCACATCCCACCTACTTCAGTCCTGTGGAGACCCACTCTTAACTTTTCAGGACAAACAGCAGGTGGACATTGGCCTTGCTCACTCCAGCACCAGACAACCCCAACTTTTCCACCACAGCCTCCTTCAAACGTGGCTGTGTTTCCCAGATGAACCAAGAGCTGTACTTTAGAGAAGCCCTTAGAGACTTGCTGCTGGTCAGAGAAGAGCAGGGACACATCCAAGACCCTGATCCCACAGAAAGCTGCAGGAATGGTTTTACCACTAGATGTCACAGCAATGCTGAGCGCTGCTGCTCCTCTGAGCCCTGGAGCGCCACAATTCCTTAAAACTCAGTGCTGGAGCACCAGAACTTACAGCCCCAGCGAGAGGGAGAGGAACCTTCTCCACCAGACCCTGGAGGGGGCCTAATCCCCAATCTGAGCCCAACACTGGTTTTACCTGCACGAACACGGTGAAGAGGATGACAACAGTTGTTGCTGCAATGAAGAGCTTTTTCCTGTGGAAGTCAGGCAGCAGGAAAACCAAAGAGAAGCAAATGGCCCCTCGGAGCCCCCCATAGGCAATGATGAACTGGTCCTTACTGGTGATGGTGTTCACGTGAAATCTGTTCACAAAGAAAGTCAGCACAAGAACCCCTGGAAAGCAGGAAGGTAGATTGAGGCACATCAGTTAAATAGGACAATTAGAGAAAACTCATGATCTTACATTTTCCAGTAAAACAACATGGAACTGGGGAACACCAACTGCAAGGAACAAGCCAGGGCACAAGGGAGTATATTCCCAATATGCCACTGGAGAACTTTTCTTCCAGTCTGATCCAATGGGTTGAAATTTGCTTTGTGCAGATAAAACTTAATCCCCAACATACTTCTAATTGGAGAGATTACAAATATTGACTGGCTACAGTCCTGAAATATTAATTGATTTATTCTAATTGGTGATAACAAATGACTGAATTGCTGAGGTTACAAATGCTTTTGAGGCAAATTAACAGCAACAACTTAACCACAAATTGCCCTCCTATTTGCCAAAGTTTCCAAGCAGTAGTTCGGATAAGTAGCTATATTCCACCTGTGTTAATGTTATTTCTTTCCCTCAGGTTTATACTACACAAATTGAAGGCCAGGTGAGGTGACACAGCAATTGCTGTGATTTACAGCCATTTGCAAATGCACAAGCAGATGCAGAAAGGTACAAAAAGTCAGGCCTTAAATCAGTAGGCTGTGATTTTAATCCCAATGGATGTGATAAACATTCCATTTCCCAAAGATTAACAGCCATTTTGAGAACTGATGGCACCTCCTGTCACTGACTTTTGTTAGGAATTAGCTGGAGCCACAGCACTGTTGCTTTTCTAGAGGGTGTTTGTAAAAGAAATAAAAACAGTGCATTTATTATGTACATATCAAACCTCTTCCCACACACCTCCAGCTAAAAATAGCTGAACTTTTACTGTACATTGGAGGAGTGTGAAGAAAACAAAAAGCTGGGGATGTTTGGGAATAGGGAACTCAGTAAACTGAACCCTGTGGCACCTTCCCCATCTCTGGAGCTCTGCAGAACTGGTGCCCAGACCAGCAGATAGGAAGCACTTGGGTGTCAAGGTTCTTTGCAACTTAAAAAATAAATAAAACAAAGCCTCCCTCAGATCCCATCCACCCCTACTCTACAGCTCAGGCAGCGCCGATGATTTAAAGGAACAAAATTTACTTGAGCTGATATCCTGGCCTTTGTCTTAATTTAATCCTTCCTCATAAATTATTATTAGCATTCCCTAAACTAATTCAAGGCCAGTTTGCTCCAAGAGATGACATACAATTAATCACTCTGAGCAGAATGTATTTTCTCCTGCAGATACCTTGGGAAAGAGCAGGAGGAAATCTCCCCAGGGCTTCAGTATCAGCAGAGCCCCAGTGCTGCCATGCAAGGGCTCTACTTTCCTTTTTAGATGATCTTCCTCATACCAAAGGAATTCCCCAGGTTTCAGCAGAATCATTTCTCAAACATTTCAAGCACTGAGAGTGTTCTATGAAGGACTGGGGTACAGTTTGCACACCAATCCCAGCACCGCCCACCCAAAAATCCCCAATTCCTGCAGGGAAATGTGGGGGCACCTCCCCTTTCTGGATCAGTGCCTCAAGCACCTCCAGAATCCTGGAATTAAGATTGGAAAAGTCCTGCAAGATCGTCAGGTCCAACCATTCCTCCAGCATTGCCAAGGCCACCACTAATCCATGCCCCCCAGTGCCACACCCACGGGTTTTTGGAACACTTCCAAGGTTGTTGTCTCCATCACCGCCCTGGGCAGCCCATTCCAATGTTTGGCAACCCTTTCCACGAAGAAATCCAATTATTAATTAATTATTAATGAATCCAGAGCTGCTGGATGGCTCAGAGCAGGCCAAGGTCTAATCTCAACCACCATCTCCAAGGCAGGAGTTTCCTTCCCAGTTCTCACCCTCCCAGCTTCCCAGGAAGGTGCTGCAGGACAGGGACACCCTGCTCAGGACCACCCAGACAATCTCCAGCCCTGGTTTGTGTGTTCTTATTTAATTCCAGGGAGATTTTGACTGGAAAAGGGTGGCTGCAGCCTGAGCCCTTCCCTAATAATGTGCTGCATAATTTAAGCTGCTCTCAGAAGGGCTGTGCTTAAGGGAGGATTTTTGGGGTACTTTTGTAGCATTGCTGCGTTCTTATATCTTGCAATGAAGAATCTTTGAACTAAAAATAAAAAAATCAAATTCACTGAGAACTCCTTTCATCTGAGCAAATAATTTAAGAGGAATCACTTAATGGAAATAAAACACATGAATGTACAAAAAACTGACTAATGAGCACATTTCCAAGTATGGTGCACAGTTATTAAAACAAACTTTGGCATGTCCTAACAGCTAATAAACCCCATTCTGCTCTGCCATGCTAATCATGGCCTAACCTATTTAAACAATTTCTTGAAGTGTCTGTCAAATTCGAGTTCATTGCTTGACTTACTGGTTTGTAAACATAAATCCTGTCGAACATTTTTAAGCGCTTGAATTCTTTGCCAAAAATGTGTGCTGTTATTTTCACAAATATTGTTAAGATATAAAAATACCCATAACTGAGGCACTCATTAGGTGCCCAACACTGTAAGAGGAATGGAGGTCCAGCCTCTCCCAGCATGGAACCAGCACAAGATGCAACCATGGAGAATGGAAACACAGCACATCTATTTTTTCTGGTCATTTTCAATGCATGAAAATGGGATCCCAGGGAATCCTAGAACCAGGAGTTGGGTTTGCATTGTAATTGTGGCTAAAGAAACTGCAGAGATGAGTTATCAGGAGAGTATTTTCCTGCCTTGCCCCTCGTTATCACCAAGCCCTGATCTCTTTATTGCTGCGAGGTTGGTCACACACCCTGATGGGTTTTCCAGGGATGCTGTAGACCCTCCATCCATGGAGATGACCAAAAGCCATCTGGAACGTTCTTGCCTGTCTGACCCTGCCCGAGCAGGGGGTTGGAGCAGATGATCTCCACAGGCCCCTGCCAACCTCAGCAATTCCCCAATTCTGCCACTCTCAACCCTGACCTGAAATTCTTGAGTAGGAGCAGGAGCATCCTCATAGTTTAGGTCCCAAATCTCATCTGGAATGAGAGCTACTGGAATGTTCCTCCAGCTTCCCAGTGAAGGATGCTGCTGAACACCAGCTTGTTAGGAATTAAATCCCTTAAATTCAGAGGATTTTCATGGATCTCTCCCCCCAAGGTATGTACCTACAAATTCCCTCCTGCTGGGAGAATACCAAGGGACTAAAAAACACTGAAATGGAAGAGGAGATCGTGGCAATGAAGGAGGGTGAAGGAAGATCATGGCAAAAAAGGGACATGGATAAACTAGATCTCAGGAGAGCTTCTACCCAGCACCAGTGAGTGCACAGAGCAGGGAACTGCAGCAAAATGCAAGATTTGAAATTGAGTGAGATGGAGGAGCAGGAAGCATTGGCTGGGATGTCCCAGTCCAGTCTGAGCATTCCCATCTGGAATAATCACACTGCAGAGTGAGCAGGAAAGGAGGACGGAGGGGCAGAGGACCCTCTCATCCAATGGAATCTCATTCCTCACTCCCATAAACAATAACACACATGAAAACCCAAGATCTACGACTTCCCCTACCGAGTGCCCTCCAAACAAGACAGAAAATGACCGTGAAGCAAATGTAGGGCCAGTTCCACTCGTGGTTTTCTCCAATGGTGGAAACTCCGAGGAAGATGAAGATGAGGGTGTCGCTCACACTGCTCCACATCTTCATGAAGTACTTGACTGTGGTGTGGGATTTGAGGGAGATGTTGGCCTCCACGTAACGCTTCATACCCATGGCACAGGAAATGATGCTGAGGAAGTGAAAAATAAACAAGAGAAAAGAAATACGTTTGAAATGTGAAAAGAAAAATATGGTTTTCTACTTTAACACAGAAAATCAACACATTAGTTATCAAAAAAGGGAGTTTCATCAAGTCTTGGACATTTGCAGACATTTCACTGAGGGCTGATTCACTTCCTGCTTCAGGCCAAGAATATCAGGACCACTAGGACAATAAAATACTTCATAGGTTGCCCAAACTGTCCAAATCTGGATTTTAACAGATGAACAATTCATCACCTGTTGCATTTTATCAGAGCACAAAGCAACACCTCCAACACCCAACTCTTCCCATCCTCACACACCATTTCCAGTTCTTTAACTTTGGGAACTCTGACCTTGCAATTGCCTGGCAATTTTTCATGGATAATTGGTTCTTCAAGTTCCAGGGAACATGGCATTAGCCTAATTCATCAGCTTTTCAAATCAATGTATTTTCAGGCCAGCAATCCTAGGAGGTCAAAACAATTGAGCGCTCAAAGTGCTGAAGCTCTGTTTTTTATATTTTAATCTGGACCAAAACATTTTTGTTCTAAATATTGCAGCAGGAATAGAAAAACGGTTTTAATTTCCAAGATCTGACTTCCAGTGCTGCTTGGTAAGGCCATCTATATTTTCATTGCACTGAAAACCAACTCCACAGGGAACATCACAATGTTGGATCACAGAGAAGCAGATCCTTGGCTTGTCCCTGGCTCTGGGTGTGACCAGGACAGGTAAGTGACCCAAACAAAGGTGTTGAGAGAGGTGGTGGCTCACCCAGAACTATCAACTAAAAGATGCTCAGAGAACTGCCAGGCAATTACTGCTTTGCACTGAAAATACCCTGTTTAACCCCAGAATTCCACTAACATTTTGCACTATTTTGAAGACATAAACATTTGGGTCTGTTTGAATTTAAAACTGGGGTTTAGGGAGAGGATCTGTGGCAGAAGGAGAGAATAGGAAAGGTCAGAATTGGGAAAGTCACAATGCTTTTGCTGGGAATGGGATCCTCTGTTTTCCAGCAGCAGGAGACTAAGATTCAAGTCCCTTTTTCACCAAATGTTTGAGTTCACATCTTTCACCTCCTAAGAAAATGTACCAGTACATAAAAATATTCTAATACAGGTCTGGTTTGATTTATCCTTTTTAGGTCTGGTCTGCTTTGCCAGAAAGAGCAACAGGGACTCAACCACAGACTGGGAAAAAAAAAAATTCTTCCATTTCTGTGTCTGCCTCAATAAAAAGTAGGGAATATAGTTCCAGTTAAAAACTAAGAAATCCAAGTACTTATGGGCAAGTGACTTCCAGAGCTGTGGTTTTGGGGAGTGCTTATTGGAGAATGGACATGGGATCACAGCACAGTCACAGAAAAAGAAGAAATTTGTCTTGTCCTGGCTAAAGATGGACATTGCCACCAAGGCAAGGGGCAGGGGAAAAGAGAATAAGAAAGGAAAAAATCCAACTAAAACCCATTTGCAGAACAGTTTCACAGAGTGAGCTGTATTCAGATTTTTTTATATTTTTTGGAGTATGTAGAATTGATTTTTTTGGCAATCAAATTATTTTTCAAAGAAAAAAACTGCCAAAAGCCGCTTCTCATAATACAGTATTCCCTGGCCACAACAGAATGAATTGTTTGAACTCCAGATCTATAAGACAGGCATTTATAATTTGGCAATTAGAAGGGCACAGTGCAGGAATCAGCTGCCTTTGCCATTGTTTTGCTTTAGAAAAAAATGCATTATTCAAAAGAACAGCAAATGGGTTCCATAATGGGTACAGCAGATTGTGATTGATAGAAGGAGACACCATTAGGATTGAATGTTTTCTGCTCCATGATGATTATGCAGCATATTTATTTCACTGTTCTGTCTTGCACTCCTATAAATAGGCTTTTCCTACCTATTCCCAGAGCTGGAATTGTTTTCAGTAACACTCAAATATTGCTCCTATTAACCAGCCGAAGAAACAAAATCTGCAAGACACAGGAATGGTTTATATCCAAAGCAACATCATTAGTTTTAAAATAGATATCCCAGATACTTCTGTGCTGAGCTGGGAGCCCACTTCATTTTTTATTTTCTTTTTATCTTCTTTCTCGTCAGCTGCACAGTTGTTTACACTACAGCCACTGATGCAGGGTAGGTGCATTTTGGTGTCTTTGGGGGAATATTAAATGGTTGTGATCCTCAGCACCAGCTGACTCACTTTGGGTAGGAGAACCACACTCAATAAAACACAGGGCTGGATCCCTCTATTTTTCCTCTCTCTCTGCTTTCCAAGGTGAGATTCTGGTGAACATCGGGGTCTTTGTGGCTATTTTTGTCTCAGCATCTGCTCTGATAGTGAGATGTCCAACACGGTAAGCACAAAGCTTAATTAGTCCATTAAATCTGAACGATCTGGCCCAAAATTATTCATTTTATTAAAAGATCTACCCAGGTAAAAGAAAATTAAATGAACTGAATGATCTCTGACAGCTTTGACTGAAATTGGCCAGCAGATTCCCACTGTTACTGCAGACAGAGGTGTTGGTTAACACCTGAGGCCAGACATGAGCTGTGTCTGAGCTTCTGGAGCCAAGTCAGAATCTCCAAAGCACAGGTTTCCATTAGAATCCTCTGCTCCCAAAAAACCAGGAATATTTCAGGCTTCAGTTCCTGTCCCATCACTCACTGCTGTCACACCAAGGGCTGCCAGGCAGGACATGCAGATGGGGAAGGGGATGTGAGAACAGAAGTGCTCCAGACCAAGATCAAACCTTTCCAAGGAGCTGACTAAATTCTCCTTGTAACTCTTCCCATGTTGGTTTTGACTGGGCCATGTGGAAAATAACAAAATAAGCTAAGAAACTACTTCTGGCTCTGCCAAACCTACCAGACCTCTCACTGTTGGAACATCCAGCCTTTCCAAACAAAAACCATGGAGCTCAAACATTCCTCAATAACCTACATAAATCTACCATCAGCCATCATTGTGCAATTTGGGAAACAGAGTGACTCTTGGAGAGGGCCCTGCTCTTCGTTATACACAGATTTCCAAATTTTAAAATGTTTTTGGGTATTTTTCAGTGAATATAGGCAGGAAGCTTTCCTGGAGAGAGGAGCTGCAGGGCCTCACTTACGCCACGATGCCGGAGAGGTGGAACATCTCTGCAGTGAGGTAGGACAGGTAGCTGTACAGGAACACAAAGAGGGGCTCGATGACACGGATGTCCTTGGTGAAACGCGTGGTGAAGGCAGCAGTGAACCCAAAACTCAGCCCCACTAAAACTCCTCCCAGCCCAACCACGAAGAATTTTCCAATTCCAGCAAAAACATCCATGCTTTTGATGGTTGGCATCTCGCAGAAAGAGCGAAAGAGTTTGTAGAGCACCTTGGGGGAGAGAAAGGAAAGAGGGAAACAGCTGTTAATTGGATGTTCACCAGACGTGGTCATGACACCAAATACACCAAATACAAATACTGGGATTTCTGCCAGTGCAGCGTCACCTCCTGCCCAGGAGCTCTGGCTCCCACCAGGGGACTGCTGTGGCCCTCACAGATATTTCTGTCCCCAGACATAGAGTCAAAGAGAAACCTGAAAACTTCTAAATTCACCTGAATACTGCCAAGGACCTCAGTGCCAGAGAACTGGACCAGGATCCTCTGCTAGAAGAGGTTGTTGACAACTTTTCCCTCAACAAATCACAGAATCACTGAGGTTGAAAAAGCCCTCCAAAATCATCAAGTCCAACCAATAACCCAGCACTGCCATGTTCACCACTAAACCATGTCCCCAAGTGCCACATCCACATGGTTTTTAAACACTTGCAGGTGTTGTAACTCCACCATTTCCCTGAGCAGCCTCTGCCAATGCTTGACTGCCTTTTCCACAAAGAAATTTTCCCCAATAGCCAATCTAAACCTCTCCTGGTGAAACTTGAGACCATTTCCTCTCATCCTGCCACTTGTTCCCTGGGAGAAAAGATTAACCCCCACCTGGCTATGACCTCATCTCAAGGAGCTGTAGAGGGAAATAAGGTCCTCCCTGAGCCTCCTTTTCTGCAGCTCTTCCACCCCATCACTCAGCACCATGCTCTGCAGGTTAAACACCCCAGCTCAGGCTGGTCCTTACCACGGTCACAGCATCATTGAGGAGTGATTCCCCAAAAACCAGGATGTGCAGCTTCTCATTGACATGGATCTCCTCAAAGACAGCCAGCACAGCCACGGGGTCCACGGCGGCGATGAGGCTGCCAAACAGGAGGTTGTGCAGCAGGGACACGTCCTGCAGCCGGAAGGATTTCACCTGGCAGATCCCATAGAGGGAAAAGCCGATCCCAAACACGTTCCAGATGGTCCCCACCACCGCGTAGAGCAGGATGGTGCCGATGTTCTCGAAAAAGGGGCGGCTGGGCATGAAGTAGCTGGCGTCCAGCACGATGGGGGGCAGGAGGTAGAGGAAAAAGATGTCGCTGTCCATCACTGGTGGTGATCTATCATTTAATCCATAGATGATTCCCCCCATGATGAGCCCCACAAAGATCAGCAAACAGCTCTCGGGAACGATGGAGGGCAGCTTGTTGTAGAGATGGAACCCTGCAGGGCAGGGAAGGATAAAACTGGTGATACCTCACCAAGGTCCCCACACTCCCACTGCCAGCAGGTTACACCTCAGAGTAGCAAAAAATAAATTCACACAGTGAGGGGGTAGTTGTTCAGAAATGGGTTAGAAAATCTAAAAGTTACTGAAAATACCAAACTTTTTCAAATTACTGCCTGTTCAGACCTCAGTTCATCATAGCATAAGGTTAGAGATATATATTGAGGTAATAAACAAAAAGTAATAATCTTCATAAGTAAAACAGTATTTGGAATTATTAATTATGTAATCTAGTCAGCAGCCCTTCTTTGGCACAAGCAGAAATAGCAATTTCTAATTTTAAACACAATACAGTTTCTATACATTAAAAAAAAAAAAAATCACAAAAAGCCTTGCCACTAACTATGAACAGGTCCACTTTTAATAGTATATAACCATTAGCATTTAAAGCTAAAAAGCTAAAAAATGTCCAATCAAGCCTGTCTTGTGCAATGCCCAACATTAGAAAAACCACCACAAGTACAAGGTGAATTATTAAAAGAAAAAGTCATTGAAACAAATGTAATTAGAACAAGAATAACAATTTTTAAAAATCTCTGATCATTATGCCTTCATGCTTGTGACTAGAATTAGGGTCTCATTATGTAGCATGAAATTAGTCAGACAAAAAGACTCTTTCCATCTGAAAAATTCTAATCAGACCCGATCTTAGAAACTTCTCCATTCTGAGGAAAATAAATACAAGGAAAAAAATGCTGTAAGATAACTTTTCTAGCAGTAATTTAACAGAATTTACGACAATTCCTGGAGAAAAATATTTTTCTATAATTTTCACTTTCCCGTGCCTAGTTTTTCAGAGGAAAACATAAAAAGATCAGATACTTTGCATAACTTAAATCTTTCTTTGATGACCTTGCACAGACAATCAATGCACAGAGATTTTATTTTAGGCTGTGTAACAGCCTGGACACGGATGGAATTATTCCTTGGCCAGACACAGGGCACTTTTAGAAGAATAAGGAATCTCCTCCGTTTTAAGATGAAGATGGACCACCTACACAGAGCATGGCTGGAAAGGAAATCAAGGTGAACACACACCTTGGTGTGTCCTGCAGTTAAATCAAATTCCTCCTACTGGAAACCCGGTATTTTTCCTCCTAACAGCAACAGCACTCCCAGGTGTGAATTTCTAGATGGAAAATCACCATTTCCAGATGGAAAACCACATGTCCCTAAAACGCAACTTGTTTTCCACCTGTGCAGTGTCTCTGGCGCACAGTGTGTGAATTCTGAGGGTTTGGGACGTTACCCCAGGCTCCAAACCAGAGCGAGACGGAGAAAGGCCACGCCACCTCCACAGAGATTCCCCATCCCTCCTCATCCTCTCAGGAGGCCTCACCTATTTTGGCCAAGGATGCCAGCATGATCCAGAGGGTGATTTCGAAGGGCACCTGGACGTGCTGATAATCCAGAGAGAAGAAGGCGTGCTCTGAGGAGTCGTTGCCCGGCGCCTCCTCCGCAGCCCAGCTGACGTTCTCCAGCCCCGCGTCCTCCAGGGCTCCCACCCGGGGGGCTCGGAGCGTGCAGGAGAGCCAGGAGCCAGCCAGGACAGCTGCAGCTCTGCATCCCCGGCTCTCCATGGCCCAGGAAGCCACAGCTGCTCCTGCTGTGGTGGGTGAGTGGTTGGAAGCGCTGCTGGAGGTGCCAGAGCTCATGTGGGAGGCTGCAAAGGGAGGAGCAAATGTTCCACCTCAGGCTGGTTTCCCTCCCTGCTCCATCAGCTTCCAGCTGGGAGATCCCACTGTAGAGTGGCACTTTTCGGTGCCACGTGCCCAAATAGGGTCTCCTTCTGTGGATGCTTCATTGAGGAAATGCCTCGTGTGCCCTCAAAACAATGGCACAACTCACATTTTAGTCCCAGCTCTGGATGTGTTTTGGCTCCCAGTTCCTCATAAACCTCTCTTGAAAAAAAAATAACCTTCACTGATGTTAGAATAGACCCACATCCCATAAAAAACCCCATCTGAAAACAGATCCTACACACAGGGTCTTCCCTGGATGTCTGCAGTGCCCACACAAACATTACTGGAATTCAGTTTTCATTTGTGAAACAAGCAAATCACTCAGTTTGTTGAGCTAAATACAGAGCTGTAGGAACAGAGGGCACCTGTGTGGGACAAATAAGGCTCTACAATTACTTAAAGCTTCCTATAAAAGAGATTAACAGGAAAAGTTATCTTCATCTCTCTTGAAAACAGCATCAAAAACCGAGTGGCTCAGAATCATTGGAAAAATAAAGGTAGTTGCAACATGTTTTGTTAAACAGCAGAGAAAAAACATATTGGGTCACATTCCTCCATTGTGAAGCTTCATTTAAGCTGATGATGCTTCAAGAGGCACAAATTTAGCCCAAAGAACACTGGTAATTAAAATCCGGGGCTGTTGCCAGACGGATCGATGGCCTATTTGCTCCCTAAGTGACACCAAAAGGGATGCCAGTGACAGGCTGGTGACCCACTTCTGAGCTCTGGGGGCCCAGAACACAGACCCTGGCCCTCAGCACCACTCCCTGCTCCTCATCCCTTTGTGAAGCAAGAGGGGGATACATTCTGGAAGGCAGGAGGGATGCAGTGACACCCTCAAGGAGGGACTTTCTCCTGCTTTACCAGGGTTCACTTGGATTTTATAGAATCTGACAATGGTTTGGTTTGGAAGGGACCCCAAAGCTCATCTCATTCCAACCCCCTGTCCTTGGGACACCTCCCACTGTCCCAGGTTGCTCCAAGCTCCATCCCTTGGCACTTCCAGGGCAGCCACAGCTTCTCTGGAAAACCTGTGCCAGGGCCACACCACCCTCACAGGGAGGAATTTCTTCCCAATATCTAACAAGAAATCACTCATTACTCTGAAGAAGGGAGAACAGTGCTCTTGACAGCAATTAAGAAGTAATTAAGGAATTATTTAGCCAGAGGAAGAGCAATGGAAGCAGCTCTGAGCCTGGGCTCACGTCCCAAGCCATCATATTTTCCTCTTTCTGTTGAAATATTGGGTGTTAAAGTTAAGGGTTTGAGGACTTGTTCCATTTGGCAGCATGGGAAAGGAGTTCTGCCAAGCTCCCATTCCCCTCCATCCCCAAATGATCCATTTTTTCTTTTGCTATTCTTGCAAAAAAAGCAAAAATTTAATGCTCACCTACACTTTCCTTAAGCCAAAATCAAAATGTTTGCATCTTGGAGGGGGAAATAGCCTTGCAGTTCAACAGCATCCTGGAAACTGGTTTTGTGTATAGAATCTACATTTATTTAATAATGAACCAGAAAAAAACCCAGCAGAGCTGGGACAGAATTTGAGGAAGGTCAACAGGGAGGATAATTTTAAAATATGCTTCATTTTTCAAAGAAAGCTACCTTATAAAATCATTAAGGCTGGAAAAGGCCTATAAGACCACCAAGTTCATTATATATTAGCTACAAATAAGCCAAAAGCCAAAGACAAAATGTTTTTCTAAACTTCTATGATAACAGAATTCGTGCTGTTCCTCTGCTAATGGCTATTGATATTATTGATCTACTTTTTTATGTGAGCACCATTTGATCCAATGTTTATGGACAGGCTTTCATTTTTTTCCCAAATGTAACGCTCTTCTCTACATTCTTCAGTCCCCAGGCTGGATTTTTATGCTCACAATTGTGCTGATGAGCACCTTGCTCCTGGTGGAATGAGAAAAGAACAGAGTTATTGTGGGATGTGATATCAGTGACCAAAATTCAGGCTCCTGCTCCTCTCTCTGGGACAGATATTTGGGAGCACCCAGAATTTAGAACTTTTTTTTTTTTCCCACTGCTTACCCGATAAACCTCCAAGCCACTCATCCCACTTCCCCTTCTGGGAAGGATCCCACCCACATCTATTGGGGGCAGCAGGAAGAGGAAACCCTGGAAACCCCCGAGCCACCACGTGGGGCCTGCCAGCACATCACGGGGGCACGGAGAAGTAACCTGGGGCTGCAGACAGTGGGGAGCCTGGTGGGCACCCAGAGTCCAGGCAGGCTGAGGTTCAACAGAACATCAGTGATGCCACTCAAAAATCTGGGTTTAAGGAGGATTTAAACAGGGTTACATCGAGCAGCTGGAAGGAGCAAGTTAAAAGAATACATCTCAGCAGAGGTGTGAGCACATTCTGCCTCCTTACTAATGAGATCTGGGGTATTTCATTCATGGATTTCACCTCAGGGTGGAGATCAGGTCCCATTTATTGGCTGCCCCCAGGACACCACGCTCAGGTCCCACCATTGTCAGAAGAAATCCAAACATTCCCTGAAGTTTTTTACCTGCTGGATGCAGCCTTTTGTTTCTCTTAGTGGAATATACATAGGCAGGTGGTTATTTCCAAGGATGTTTTTGTTATATAAAAATATTCAATAAAACTGTCCCCAAGCCATTTGCCTGTGATCAGTGACCTGTCCTTGCTGTTTGATGGCTGAGCTGGAGCAGAGCTGTGCAAACACCAGCACCAATATCCACACACAGCATTTCACACTCTGATTTGTATAAATTTAACGTGGGCAACATGAACGTTTTTGCTTTCTATTCTAGGAAAGGGTTTTTTATAATTCAACTACCAAGAAAGAGGAACAAAATTTGGAAGTTTAAAACTTCAAGGCAAGATTTTTAAGATATTTGTTTGCAGGTCTGTTTCCTATTTCATTACATTCATAAATCTCACTCATTTGAAACAAAGAACCAACACAGCTTAAGGAAAAGAAAAAGTGACAGCAGGTCTGGGTGTTCTCTCACTCATCTTTGTTAACTTTTTTACCTCTCAGATTAGTAATTAATTATTGAAATATCAACTTTGTATGGTTGAGCTACAACAAAAGGGAATAAATGGTCCATGGGTCTTAGAAATTTGGCAATGGAAAGCAGAAGTGTGTAATCCCTGCAGATGGGGAATGAGAACAAGAAACAGTAACACAGCAGATTAGGAAATTGTATTATTGCACAAAATTAGAAACTTTTTTGAGGAGGATGAAGGATCCCTAAATAGCAAACCAGAGCCCAGGAAAGCAAAGCCTCTGTGTCCAACACAGGAGTGAGAGACAGGAAAACCCCTCCTGCACCAGCATGGGGAAAAAGGATAAAAAAATAGTGGGATGGGAGACTGGTTTGGGTTGGAAGGGACCTCAAAAATCATCCCAGAGCCCATATTTCAGCTTTACCCAACCAGAGCCACTTTTAGGAAAGATGCTGTTCCCACTTACCCTCAAGGAGGAGCAGCAGTGGTGGGACACAGAAAACCCCTGCAGTCCCAGCTCTTCTTCTGGAGCTGGTTTCAGCTCCAGCTCCTCACTCACTTTTCTTTCAGAAGCACCACCAAAGAAAGCCCCAGGAAAGGTGGTGAGATGCCACATTGTCCCCAAGGCATTGCAGTTTAAAAGGCTGTAAAAACAGCAACAGATTTTCTCCTCCAAAGAGAGCCCCAAACAAACATCCTGAGGAAAACAAAGCCTTGATGGACACACAGAACTCCCAACAAGTTTCAACAACTCAGCTCCACACACAAATCTCCTCCCACTTTGCTCCAGTACATCAAATATTCCTCCAGATTTTTTGCCTTCCCAAGAGCACAGCCCAGAAGTGAAGGGGAATATCCACAACCCCTACATGGACCAGGATAGAAAAGGGAAAGTCCTCAACCTCCTGAGAGCCACAGCTCCACACTAAACCCTTTTATTTCCCCCCATGATGGTGGATGTGGGAGTGGAAGGTTCATTGGCACCTGGGCACTCATTTACCAAACCACCACTGACCCTCACAAGTGATTTATATTCCCAACAGATTTATGGGATTATCACAAATAAATGAACTCAAAGGAAAAGCAGGCAAGGATTAAGTGATGAGGATATTCTGGTAAAGAAAAAGAAAATTAGGGTAATTACAATCAAATATTTGGATTTTTGAAATCTGTATTTAAAACAGGAACAAAACAGAGAGAAAAAAATCAGTTTTGCCATGCCATGTATAAACTAGTGGAGAGCAAGAAAGAACACTCAGCTAAAAAGCAGATTTCAACCCACTAAAAGTAGTTTAATGTTTTACATTTCAGGTGAAAAAATAAGTCACTCAGATTTAACTTCATTTGTTTAACAGCTTTTTCCTGATTAAAAGAGAGATTAATGAAAAATACAAATATTTGGTGTTTGAGATTTTTCTGACTGCCAGTCAGAATTTTTAGTCACAAAGTGAAGGGTTTGGCCTTGCAGGTTTTAAGTCCTTCTTGATTTTTCCTGGAATAGAACATTAATTGATGGAAGTTGTTGTTCTGCACACCTGGGCATCCTTTTTATTGGAAACAATCCTCCCTCCAGAGAAAGACAGACTTTGAGATTTCATTGCAAAATGGTTGTAAAGCCCTGGAAATCCTGACCTGGAAGGTACTAAAGGAAACCACCACTAGATATCACCATTTGACTATTTAATAAATCTCAGAAAAATTGGTAATGTGTAAAAATCCTAATTATCCTCCAGGCTGATGAAATCACCTTCTAGAGGAGCTTAATTCCCACAACTGAGGCAGGCTGGGGAACGCCCTGACTGCAGGATTAATTGGGGAAATGTAACTAAAGAGTCCAGCTTTCTAC